AACCGAGCGAGTACAGGTGCATCTCAAGTCCTTCAATCACCCGGATGTGGATGCGCTGGTCAAGATGACGCCAACCTTGTTGGCTGGCATTCGCAAAACAAACAAGATGGGCTTTTCTGGCGCGCCTACAAAAGCTAGATCGGACATTTATGTTACTCTCGATACTGCTGCGCTCTCCAAGCAAAATCTGTTGTCCAGATATGCAGGCAACCCCGCCATACTCTCTGGGAGTGTTCATGGGAATAACCTACAGGTTACACTTGAGGTACGGAGAACAGGCGGGGAGAAGATTCCGAACTGCATCTTTTCTTCGTCCAACACCGAAGGAATCACCACGTGGAAGTCTGTGGCTGTTGAGAGGGGGGAGCACTGGAGTCAGACTGTCCGACTTGCTGTTCCACCAGAAGATGTCTTCACTTCGCACATAGTCATGTTCCTATCCGACATGCCGAATGCGCCGTTCGCGGTTGCCCACATGCCACTGTGGAACCAAGAAGCTTTTGTCCGAGACGGAGCACATGCCCTGCTGCTATACAAGACAGATGAATTTACCTCGACGGCTCAAGCTGGCCCGAGCGGCAAAGGGGGTTATCTATCACTGCAATGGAGTGCTAGAGGAAACGACGAACACTCTTCCGAGGTAACCGGTCCTCTTGCGCTCCTTCGAGTCGACACATACCTATGCAGCACACGATTTTCCCAGGATCGCATCGTCTTGGGCCTGCTCAAATGGAAAGAGGCTCCCAAGGAGGATATCCCGATGTTACTAAAGCATCTGATCTTCGTTCCCGAAATCGAGGTTGTCAAGCTCCTTAGCGACGTTCTTGATGGTCTCTTCGGCGTCCTGGTGGAACACTCGGGCAACGACGAATACGAAGACCTTGTATTCACTGCACTGGTTAGAGTCCTGGGCATTGTGCATGACAGACGATTCAATCTCGGCCCACTTGTCGACCACTATGCGGAGAACCGCTTCAACTACCCGTTCGCCACGGCCTGTCTCGTGAGATCGTTCACTCGCCTGCTGGAGAAGCCTACCGAGGCCCAGACTTCGAGGAAGCTCCGCTCCACTTTCAAGGTCGTGCGACACATTCTCAAGTTCATCACCCACGCGCGAGGCCAGCAAAAGGCCAAGGAAGCCGGGATAGGCATCACGACTTCGCACTCCACCCCCGGTTTCACTCGGGAATTGAGGAACATCTTCAAAGCTCTTGATTCCATGATGCGTAGCAACGCACCTGTCCTTGTTGGCAGCCAGACGTTAGCTGTTCAACACTTTCACACTTGGTTGCCAGAGTTGACTGGACTCCTGACGACCGAGGAGATTTTGCACATTGCTATCGATTTCCTCGACTCCTGTTCGCTTGTTAAGGGCAAGCTGGTCCTGTACAAGCTTGTGCTCATCATCAACTACTCCAAGCTGGATATTTTCTCTCACCCTGAACAAAAGTCAGCTCTTACGGCCAATACCGTCCGATGGATCGCGCCGCACTGGGGTCATAATGAGGACGTCACTGATTCCTGGAAGGAGCAAGTTCGTCTTTGTTGCTCAATCCTTGCCGGTCAGATCGACAACCTCGGCCCTGAGATCCCCGACTACCTACCAAAGATCATTGATTCGTACCTCTCTATCGTGGCCACTTCGAGCAAGCCTCGCAGCCGTCTTTCACTTCTTTTCCCTACTTCATACCCCTTTCCCTCCAAGCCTATTGCGGAGGAGTCTACTTTTGACGAAGCGTTGGTTGAGCTTTCTGCAATTTTGTCGGCAGTTTCGAATTCCCCGAGCGGCATGCAGCTGGAACTAACAGAAGGAGACCTGACTGCCCTCCTCGAGAACACCCTTCGCGTGCATATGAGCATCTTGATGGGCGAGGCATTCCCACACGAATGGCTGAGTGTCTACATATATCACCACAAATCCACGATGAGAACCTTGCAGTATTTGTCCAGCATACTGCTCGAGTCCTTCCTCCCCCACCCCGACGAAGCCGAAAACTTCAATACGGAACTTTGGAAGATGTTCTTCACGACAATGCTGAAGCTTGTTGGGAGCCCATCTCTGGCTCTGGAGACCTTCCCTGAGCAGAAGCGGAGAGCAGTCTGGAAGATTGCTGGCGACGTGCGAGAACATGGCGCTGAACTGCTCAGACGAACTTGGGAGGCCATTGGTTGGGAGACGAGTAGCGACGAGCGTGCACGATATGGCCTATCCAAGATGGGTGGCTACCAGGTTCAATACGTCCCTACCCTTGTTGGCCCCATCGTCGAGCTTTGTCTTAGTGTCCACGAAGGTTTGCGACGCATGGCCGTGGAGGTGTTGCAGACAATGATTGTCAGCGAATGGACCCTGAGCGAAGACTTGTCCGTCATCCAGACCGAGATGATTGACTGCCTCGACCACTACTTCAAGTCCAAGCCCCTGACGGAAAGCATACTGCAGAAGCTGTTCGTCAACGAGGTCCTGGAGAGATTTGCGCCGCTGTCGAGCGTTCCCGACGAGCCTCTCTACGCCGGTATCCGTGACCTGATGGCGACTGTCGACGAGTTCCTGGATCTTCTCGTTGCCGTACACAGCAGCGACAACACGAGCGAAGCATCCCACCTGATCAACCGATTACGCCTGATGGAGTTCCTCCGCGACATGCAGAAGGAGGAAATCTTCATCAGATACGTCCACCAGTTGGCCATTCTTCAGGGCGAGGCGAGGAACCACTGCGAAGCTGGCTTGGCCCTTCGTTTGCACGCTGACCTCTACGATTGGGACCCTACGAAGCAAGTGACTGCTTTAGATGACCCGGAATTCCCCATCCAAACCTCATTCGAGCGCAAGGAACGCATCTACTTCGACATGATCAAGCACTTCGAAGAGGGTGAGGCCTGGACTAGCGCTTTAGCTGCCTACCAGGAACTCCGGATTCAGTACGAGAGCAACGTCTTCGACTTTGCCAAACTGGCCAGGACCGAGCGAGCCATTGCCACGATTTACGAAACTATTTCCAAGAGCGATAAGCTGGTGCCCAAGTATTTCAAAGTGGTATACAAAGGACTGGGCTTCCCCTCTAGCCTCCGTGACAAGGAGTTTGTGTACGAAGGCTCGCCGACCGAGCGCGCCTCTGCCTTCACCGATCGCATGCAGGAGCAGTACCCATCCGCTCAGATCGTCACCGGTGGCGATGTCGATGATGTCGAAGGCCAGTTTCTGGTCGTTTCTGCCATCACACCGCACCGCGATCTGTCACACCAAGTATTCCAGCGTGCTCGCGTTGCCCAAGTAATCCGCGATTACCTGGTGTCCGCCCACCCTCAGAGCTTCTCGGTGTCTTCTAAGCGCAGCACATCTGGCCCTGTTCAGGAACACTTTGCGGAGAAGATGGTATTCACCACTGCCGACCCATTCCCGACAATTCTTCGCCGCAGCGAAATCGTGCATACCGAGGAGATCAAACTCAGTGCCCGCCAGACCGGCTTAGAGCGAATTGTAAGGAAGACGCAGGAAATGACAGTGATCGAGAAGCGAATTACCGAGGGCGACGAAGAGAATGCACAGCTGCTCGTCGACGCAGTAAGTGTGTCGGTCAACCCAGATTCGGAAAATAGCGTGGCATGTTATCGTCAATTACTGCCGTCCCGTGCAGAATCCGAGGATGACGAGGACGATGTGCTTCAAGATGAAGAGGTTGAGCCTGAGCTTGACCCTGAAGACAACGCGATTAAGATGGCGCTCGTAGACCATGCGATCATGATTAAGCGGTGCCTCGCAACCTTTTCTAGAAGTACCAACGAAATCCTCAACGAAAGGCACGAGGAACTTCAACGATGTGAGTCCTTCTTGCTCATGCCCATGACCTCTTGCCTAGGCGCTCCATACTAATACGTTACAGACTTTGAAAGCACATTTGCGCCTGAGATTGCCCTCTTCGCTCCTCAGCAGCCGTCACGGGAGTCCGCCAATGCTTCGCCGACATACAGGCGGTCGTCACCATCTACCGAACAAGTATCGCCCCAACCGCAGAGCATTGCTGGTGCCATGACGAACGGAGTCGCTGTCGAAGAAGTGTCGACGGTCCAGCCAGTTGCCATCCGCCAAGGGCGTGGCACGCGTCTTAGCTTCTTGGGAGGCCGTAAGAAGGAATCTCCAGTATTGCAACAGACCCCCAGCGACCCTCAAACGACACCGGAAGTTGAGGACACCGTTAGCCACCGCAGCCGAAGCTTCAGCAAGACACAAGACAACGTGACCATTACAAGCAACGCCAACCGTCGCAGCAGCTTCTTCCGAGCTCCGTCCAGCGACATACCGCGGGTTCTAGGCAGTAACGATGCCACCAGCGAATGGGTCACGGACTCGGGTGGACGGCGCAGTTCAGATGCGGGAACGAACTTGACAGAGAAGGAGCGGGAGTACAAGGACGAACGGCCTGTGGACGCACTTGGCATCGTCAAACGTGGAAGCGTCAGAAAGAGGCTCAGCATGCTGAAACTTGGTAAGAAGTCTGCTAAGGGGAACGGTACCATGGTCAGCGTGCACGAGGAGTAGGACTTCACGGCAGCAGCCGAGCAGCTTGGTTACATGAACAAGACGACGGGTGAATGGCAATACCCGGTCTCATGATGATGCCACAAGTGTAGGGGAGCGTCTGCTTGGTTCCCAGGGGCAGGTTCAAGGCCGTCACGGGGTGCTTCTCCGTGATCGCATTCAAGATGTCTATACTTTTTTCACTGGCTTTTTGCGATTTGTACAGACAGGGAGCGGTTGGCGGGATGGTGTTCTGGATATGTATCTGTAGGATCCCCCCTCATCTGCAAGGCGACACAGCGCCGCAGATGCAGCTCATTTTTTTCAGGTTCTGGTTGTGAATAATACCTGGTCTCACACTAAGTGTGAATAAAAACCCAAACTACTCTGAACAACAAATATGCGTCTTACTGCGCTGTGTCAAACACCACAGGTTCTCATCTCTAGCGTTTATCCTGGTTATCTATGGTCTACATCATCGCGACTAACCCAAATACGCAACAGCATGTGTTTCCACATGAGATTCGGCGGCGCCAACCCAAGCGTTCCAATTATTCATTCCTCCATGATGGCACTCAGTTGTTATAGGCCGCCCCTGCACCTGAGCCGCAACGTCCCCGCCGCGGTGCACAGTCACGACAACCTCGCCAGTCCGACCATTAAACGGCGCACTACCGTGATACACGCCCACGCCACCACGCGCAGGAGTGCCATCATCCTCGTCCCAGCGAGCCTCCTCGGCGACGCCGCCCACGCTCACGGTAACCTGCGCGGGACCCGTCAGCAGCGCCGAGAAGACGATTTTATCCTCCATGATCTCGGACGGGTGGAAGAGCTCCTGGCCGTGGGAGGAGGTGTTGCCCGTCGTGCCGCCGGCGTCGCCTGCGTGGGCCGGGTGGAGGCGGTACCAGGTTACGAGGCCCTCGCGGCGGACGGTGGCGGTGCCGTATTTGTAGAGGTCGATGAGGAAGGGGAGGAGGAGGCGCCAGCCGTCGTGGGGCATGTCGCGGACGTAGTTGAAGGGGGCTTGGCCGTATTCGAAGGCGCCGAATTGCTTCTCGTGGAGGGGGCCTATGTAGTGCGATTCTCCAAAGTCGTTCCAGGTGAGCTGTTGTGTTGTCTGTGGTCAATGTCATGCTCCCCAAAAGTGGGTTTCGTGTGTGTGTGTGTGTGTGTGTGTGTGTGTGTGTGTGTGTGTGTGTGTGTGTGTGTGTGTGTGTGTGTGTGTGTGTGAACTCACAATCTGCACATACTCGGGCCTCATGGCCAAAATCTCATTCCATCGATCGTTCCACAGGTCATCACCCTTCCACGCCCAATTCTTGTTCCAGGTGGGCAGGTTGGTGTAGAACCAAGGGGAGACGGCGACCATGTAGGGGCGGTGCGGGCCGAGGGCGTGGCGGTACGATGCGTCGAGCCCCTCGTCCATCTTGCGCGCGTTGCCGTGGGGCCAGGCGGCCCAGCTGAAGAGGCCGTCGGTGACGCCCGTCTTGAGGGCGTTGTCGGCGCCGATGGAGGAGAAGGAGGGGATGAAGAAGCAGTTCGTCGCGGCCTTGATCTCGTGCCAGTCGGCTGCGTTGCCGACGCCTTCGAAAGTTGAGACGACGGGCTGATGGCCGCGTTTGAAGTAGGCTGGTGAGGGGCCGAACTTTTGGGAGGAGGGTTAGTATCTCGGACTTTTGATTGAAGGTTCGGGGAGATTGAGACTCACTCTGCTGACGATTTCGATGACGCGCTCCTTGGGCCATGCTCCTGCTCCTTCGTAATCGAAGGATAAGAGGAGCTTGAAGCCCGTCTGCTCGGCGGCGGCGAAGACGTCGGGGAGCCTCACGATGGCTTCTTCGTGGATGCCAAAGTTTAGGACAAAGGCGTCAATGTGCGCTTGCTGGGCTAGGCCAATGTCGACTTTGTACTCGTCCACGGTGTACTCGCAGGTATTGCTCAGCTGTTGATGTGTGTCAGTTTCATGTTTGCATCTCATAGAGCGGTGTTGAGGAGGCCTCCGTGAGGACCTGACGAACCATGAAATGAGCGAATACCGCTCTCTCGAACCCCTGATGCGGCGGTTGAGGGGGATAGTACTGCTGTTGATGTTGCGGCGGCGGCTGCTGCTGTTGGGGCTCATCGTCGCCGGTGATGGAGGCGATTTCTGCCTCGATCTTTTGCTTTGCTTCTCTGAAGAACTTCCTCATGATTTGGTGTATGTATGTATGTATGTGTTGCGGTTTTGGTGTTTTGGGGAGAGTGAGTTGAGCCCCCACGTCAAACTCACTCACTTTCAGGAGTGACGCGTGCGCCCGCTGCATCTACGGATACAGAAGCTCCAGTTAAATGACACGTGTGGTGGGATGGCGAAAGCTTTCAGACTTGGCGAACGATAGCTGCCATTCTGCTGCCCCATTACTGCGTAGCCGAGGGCTTAGCAGCATCCCGAGTTATCCGGCCGCTTGATCTTGGGGGTTCGGCTGCACTTGGATGAAGTTATCGGTGGTCTTTCTCTCGACGTTGGACGATGGTGTTGTGTAACTAAAACATGCCGCTGCGATGTCATGCTGCAGGTTATGAAGTACTTACTTACAGTGCGTTGCGCAGGTGTTGTTTGGCGGGTTGTAGGTTCTGAGTCGTGGTTTAAAGTGCTAACCTTGAAGGCAGCGGCTGAATCTGTTTGGATAAAGTAGTGGTTACTATTTTTATCGCCGCTCAACTCGGGCTAGGGAACATGGCTCGGCGCAACCGATCGGAATGTAGGTATTACATACAGGCTGGTCGGAAAACCAAAGAAGAAAGAAAGGAAAGACACATTGGATTGTTTCTCGGACTGTTTCTTAGTTTCCTTCTCGGAACCATGCATGCCATTGAATCAACCAAGATAGAAAGTCAAGTAGAAATATATGTCTTTCCTCTGTAAACTCGGTTCTGTCTTTGTGTTGTCGACATAAACAGCTAGTCCTATGCGTGCTGGATGGAGAAAGAAGGAAAAAGCGAGTGAGCCAGTACCTGACCATCGATTGATGCTTAGGTATTTGAGTTCTGGCGGTAAATGATGTGTCGGGTAGTAGATAGTGGCAAAACCAAAAAGAAATGTCCCTAGCAAGGCTCGAACTTGCGACCTTTGGATATCTCTAGATGATCTAGAGTCACATGTATGGATATGAGACCAACGCTCTACCGACTGAGCCATAGAGACTGAGGAAGTTGAAAATTTCAAAGCGTGAGTTGACTAAGACCCGTGGCGGTGGATCCTGTGGGTCAAGCCTTCGTTGCAAGCACAATTGATTCCACCTTCTGTCATTGTGTGGATGGTCTCAATGATATAGAGTACATGCACGCAAGGCAAACATGGGAGGAACAACAATAAGGTTCGCCTATTGTTGGCTGAACTTTCAAACACCGGTCATATGCTTCCACTCATAACAAACTAGCTTGGCTAGCTGAACTCCTCCGATGCCGGAAAGCAAACAATCTAGGCCGAACTCGACGTCCATCTCCGTGCACTAACAGGTGTACTTACAACGCAGAACATCGCACTTCAGGGGGGACCAGGAACTTTCCGAACAGACGACCAGTGCTAACTCGTTCCCACCAGTCTCCGCACGAGATAACGGTAGCGCGGCCCTCCGGTACACCCCGCCCCCGTGCCCCCCTATTATTGTCCGAACCAACAACTATGCGGAAATCGAGTGCTGACACATACGGCAAACGTACCCCAGACTTTCCCGGACGACAGGTCTCCATGCTCGTTTACATGCTTTCAAACCGTTGCGATATCTGACTCTCAAAGTCTCCACTGTGCAGATCGGCGGTTCCGCGCCGTTGGGCATTTCCTCTCGTTTTCCATTTCGTCTAGAACACGCTGGTCTTCTTTTCCCCTCCTCCCTTCACAATGAGTGGCCAAAGAACCGGCAGCACCCATCAGGCCAAACGCCCGCGACTCGGCGAGCGCACCATGTTGGCCTGCATCGGCTGCAAGCAAAAGAAGCTCAAGGTAACATTCAAATGTCTTCTAGTAGATCTGCGAAAGACACAACCGAGCTGACTGACTCGTTCATAGTGCGACGGACAAAGCCCCAAGTGCCAGAACTGCGTGAAGACTGGACGAGGTAAGGTCCAATAGCAACATGAGACGGCATAATGAACTTCATCTAATGTGGAAAAAACCAGACTGCCTGGTAGAAGACCCCGGCACCGGCTTGCATCGCCCGCGCGACTACATGAAGTCGCTGGAGGCCCGCGTTGCCTATCTCGAAGGTCTCTTACAGCAGGCCCGGCCCGAGGTCGCTCTCGATCACTTTGGTGCCAATCACGAGGGCGGTGGCAGTCGTGGTCGTGAAGCAAACCAAAACGCCGCCGCCGCTTCGCACAACGGCGGTCCCACGCAAGCAATGTCCATCATGCACATGCCATCTGCCCTCGCCCCGAACCTCCAGGCTCACCCTTCATCATTCGAAGACGTGGACTTCTCGCGGGCATTACGTGCGCCTTCTCCAGATGTTGACGACCATCATGTCGATACCTTGTCGTCAGAGGTTGCGTTGCTCTGTCTAAGCGCGGCCGGCCGGGAGCCGCATTACTTTGGTCCTTCTTCCGCTGTTTCCTTTTCGCGCATCGTCAGCGCGACCATGGGCCTTGCCAGCACTGGCGGGAGCTCGCAGCATAGCCATGCAGGCCGGGGGAAGGATATCAATCCGGAAGTCGTCCGAGAGGTCCCGTTGAGGTTACCGTCGCCGATACTGAGGGCAAACTTGTCAGAAGCGTACTTTAACAACATACATCCCCAGTACCCATTTCTGCATAAGCCGACGTTCCGGATTTGGGAAGAGACATGTCTAAAGGCGAGTCTCGACGGAGATCTGAGCAGTGTCAACGGATCAACACTTTTCTTCGTGTTAATGGTAAGCCGGACCTTTGGAGAGCTCGTGACATGGCTGTGAGGAGATCGGCAGTGCTCTAATACGACTTTCAGGTATATTCAATAGGGTCTTTAGTCCTTGGTCAAAACCATTATGATGCTGCTGAGGTATGCCCTACTCTTTCGTGGAGTTGGCGTATTATGCGACGAAGAATATTGACGCAGGAGTCGGCAGGCTTACTATTCAATGGCCTTGGATCACATCTCGGCAGTCTTGGACCTTGACAGCCTAGAGTCCATCCAGGCAATACTAGCCTGTGCTGTGTATTCTATCAGATCACCTGTTGGTGTAAGTCTGTGGTAAGTCAAGCGTCTACTTGAAATCATGGTGCCGGTTTGACTATCTCTTAGGAAAGTCTCTGGTATGGCTATACGCCATTGTATCGAGCTCGGCTACCACCGAAGTGCCGAGAGATATCACAAAAATACAGATGCTTTGACTAAGGAAATGTCCAAGAGGTGTTTCTGGGTCGCGTATGATATTGACAGAGTCGTTGCGTTTACACTAGGCCGCCCAGTTGGTATTCCGGACGATTCTATCGATGTTGAGGTGAGGCTTTTCCTCTCTTCGTATCTCTCGCGATAGCCTCTGGTTATAAAATACTAACGAGGAGCGCAGTTACCACTGGATATCGATGATGAGAATGTGACTTCGGGAGGACTCTTGTCAGCCTCACGAACATCCAATACGGACCCGCCGACACTCATGACCGGCTTCATCCACGCTATCAAACTAAGGCGTCTGTGGACGAAGATCAGCGACAACCTATATCCCCCCACGACTCGACGTTGCGGCTGCGGAAAAACAGCTACAATAGAGAGTCTCCGCCATGAACTAGAGGAGTGGCGTGCAAAAACTCCCGATCAGCTAAACTACTCGAGGGCGCACCCACTGTCAGTCTTCACCTCTCGCTCCTGGTTCCAACTCGCTTACGACCACTCGATCCTATTGCTATACCGCCACTACATGATGGGAGGATCACCCGCAGCAAACCAGTCTACGCCGGACAACACCGGTCACGGAGGAAACCTCAACGACAACGAAGCCACGGAGCGGGTGCTGGAAGAGTGCGCGGTGCGCGCGCGGGAGATGTGCATGCTCTACCGCCGCGTTTACCAGTCCTCCTCGGTCCAGTTCACCTGGGGCAGCCTGCACATCCTCTTCCTCGGCGGGCTGACGTATCTCTACTGCTTATGGCGCTCCAAGCGCGTCCGGGACTCGACGAGGCAGGCTGATGTGGTGACGACGTGTATGGCGTGCACCACCGTTCTTATTATCATTGCCGAGCGGTGGAACCTGGCGACGTCGTACCGGGATATGTTTGAGGCGCTATCGCAGAGGACGATCAGTATGGTTTGTAACGATGGGCAGAAACCGGCGGCGGCGGCGGCGCCGAGTGGTAACACTTCCTTGCCTGCGATTGAGTCGGGCCCGGCAGCGGGAGATATGCATGCCGCATTTGGTGGTGGTGCGGCGCCGTCGATGCAGGATTGGATTATGGGATTGGACGACTTGTCGATTCCGCAAGAGTCGGAGTGGCTGGTGCAAGAGTTGCTTCAAGGTGTTCGAGATTATTAGCAGTTGTTGCCGACACGTCGGAACAGATGCCATGAATTACGATGAACGAGGATGGTATTATAATTAGGGGCGCCGAGATACACCGGCTGAGCGAAATGAGGCTAATAAGCTTGCAACAAATATCAAAAATCTTTCCAATCATTGGGACGAAATGCAAGCCAAACATCCTGGCAGAACAAAAAGCATGAGCAAATTCTCTACGTGTCTACCTGGAATCCTGCTCCCAGGCATTAGTAAAGCTGTGGAATCATGTCCATGCTCAAACCAAGCTCTTCCGCGCAGGTCTGCAAGCTCTTCATCTGCGCTTGCGCATACAAGTCGTTTGCGTCGAGGATTTCTCTCGCCAAAGCCTTCTCGTAGCCATCTACATCGGGTCGCGTCGACTCATCCTCTCCTACCGTAGGTTTGCTTGGGCTAGCCTCGGCCTGGATATTCGACTGGAAGATGCCGGCAGCCGAAAAGGGTAAGAAGTCTTCGTACGTGATGGGCACCGCTTCGAGCACACCCTCGGAGACGAGCCGATCCAAGAGAGAAGCCGGGTCTGCTGTATCGATATTTTCCAAGCTGTGCAGCTTCTCTTTGGCGTTTTCTGCGCATCGATAGTCCGAGTAAACGAGCCCTTGCCGCCGCAGCTCGTGCCAGTCATCGGGGAACTTTTCAAAGACCTTTGCAAATGTCTCGTCCACCAACTTCGCATCAGAAGATTCCCCCTCTTTCTGTACTATTGCCATTGCTTCCTCCAATAGTTCGTCATAGAGCTTTCTGCCTGCAGGCGTAACAGCAGCTCCCCTCTCCTCAATCTCACCAAACCGAGCCTTATGAAAATCATCCACAAACTCGTCTCTTCCCGAAATAGCAAAGCGGATACCCTCCTGTAGCGCAAGAAAACTCGTCTGACGCAACAAGATTGGGCACTTGCGCACCGGCGGGCCCTCGATACGGCTCTTGACAGCCATACCCGCGGCAAGCATGGCCTCTTGCGCGGCATTGATATCCAGGGCTCTCGGCGTGAGGTGATTAATGTGCGACGAGCGGAAGCACGCGATATCCGCCAAGATGGGATGCTCGCTCCGTAAGAGGGCATACTCTTCGTGCGTAGCCGCCGCTAGGGGCTGCCAGCTAAACGTGCGAACCGCCTCCACCACGAACCGCTCCCCTTGCTCTGGTGTCAGGCGACCGTCCTGACCCGTCTCAGCTATGCCTAGAAGCTCCAACAGGGCATCACTAAAGATATCGCGCTTTGCAAGGAGGTTCAAGGCAACGACTCGCGCCGAGCCAGACTTGAGCAGCTCGGGCCGGAGGAGCGTTGTGAAGACGCGAAAGGGGTTGCGTTCTAGGGAGTGCGGCGACGTCGGGCGGAAGCAGGTCGCGTGCATGGGCAGGCCGGCCACGGAGAGGTCGTAGTAGCCGACGGGGTGCATGCCGAGGAGGGCGAAGATGCGGCGGACGGTGTGGAGTTCTTGCGGGGTGCCGAGGCGGATTGCGCCGTGCCGTTCGAGGGCTAGGCGCTCGACGCTGGCTTCCATTGTTGCGGAGCTCGAGCCGTGTCCGAGGCCGTGGCGTTGCTTGAACTGGGCATCTCTGTTGATGGTTTGGACGATTTGGATGAGGTCGCCGTAGAGGGGCACCTCGGCCTTGTACATGGCGGACATTGCGAGCGCAAAGGTCGTTCGGAGGGTGTCGGCGTCGACGTAGTTGGCGTCGGGTCCCGGATGGCCCGGAGGACCTGACTGGTGCGTGGATAGAAGGCTGGTCGACATCATGGTGTTGATTTGCGAATCAGTTGTTGTTCAAAGACCAAGAAGATCCCTTGATGAGGATGGCTGAGTAGGAAGAGATCAAGATAAGAGTGATGCGATAAGGTTGATATTCGGGTATAGCAGGAAGATAAGTAAGGCTTAGATAGAACTAGCCTGTAGTAGAGAGTTATGATTTAGAGGCAAACTTCTAGATACCATGTATTATTAAACATCAAGGAAATCTAGTAAACAACAATCATCTGTGCAGATAGTCGAGTTGGGTCACACGATGACTTCGGGGGAAAACGCTGGCATAGAGTTAGGCCTCATGGTTCTTCCCGAGAGCATTACGAAAACAATTAGTCTGACCAGCAAACCTTCCTACTGTGATATGAGTTACTAACAGCTGTCAGATGACTTACTCTAGCAAGCATGACCGAGGTCATCGACTACATCGTGCGGCTTACGCCGGAGACTACTGCTAAGATGTCACTGCGATTCGTTTGGTGGCTTCGGATATGGGGCGGTGGAGGCGCCGGCAGCTCGCCATCTTGCCGAAAGGTGGATCGGAAGCAAGGAGCGGCCTTAGTCGGGCATGAACCGTCCCCAACCGCCAGGGTCGGAGGTTTCCGAGTGATGGCGACATTGCTGTTGTGCTTATCCGCTCTTCTCCATCACCTCATGCGGAGTAACCGCCATTTGGTATTCCACTGAGCGCTCACTTACTCGACTTTCTCATTCTTTCAAGGTCACATCGCGAGAGGACGAGGGTTTGATAAGAAGACACAGCCGAGGAAAACCACCTCCCCTTCTTTGAAGGCACATTGCAGTTGAGAGCGTTACCTACCACATCGCCCACCATGTCAACCACCACAACCGTTACGGCATCCACACCCGCACAAGCACCACCGGCGCCGACGCCGCTCGGTTCGGCGCTGGACTCGGGCAAGGCGGGTAGCGGCAAGGTCAAGCGCCTACACCAGATCCCGGTTCCCGAATCCAAAGAAGCCGCCCGAAAATGGCAGCTGGAACAGATGGCAGCCGCGTTTCGCATCTTTGCCAAGTTGGGCTTTTCTGATGGAAGCAGTGGGCACATCAGTCTACGAGGTATGCTTTCTTCCCTTTTCCTCTTTACTATCACTACAAACAGGCGAGGACTATGCTGAGAATTCCTGTAAGACCCCATTAGACCGGACACGTTCTGGATCAACCCGTATGGAGTGCATTTTGGCGTGCTAAAGGTGTCGGACATGGTTCACATCGATGAGGACGGCAACCGTATCGGCGGTGCCGATAAGCCGGTAAATACTGCAGGCTTCACCATTCACTCCGTTCTTCACAAGAGAAGGGCGGATATCAACGCCGCCTGCCACATGCATAGCCCTTACGGCCGGGCGTGGAGTACTTTCGGACGTCCGATTGACATGCTTAACCAAGGTAAGCCACAACTCCCGACCTCGTCCTGCACTACTGTGGAGAGGTGCAGTTCTAATTATGCCATCACAAAGACTCATGCATGTTCTACAACGACCTCTCTGTCTACGAAGGATTTGGTGGCGTCGTACTGGCAAAGGAAGAGGGCGAGCATATCGCCGAAGCCCTCGGCCCCACCAACAAGAACATCATCCTCCAAAACCACGGACTACTCACCGCTGGTGGGACGGTGGCTGAGGCAGCTGCGTTCTTCATCGCGCTTGAACGTTGTTGCCAGGCTCAGTTCCTTGTTGAGCAGGCTGTTGCTCCTGGAACCAACGGTGCTGCCGGTGGACTGAAGAAGACGTTTGTCGGCGAAGAGGAGGCGCAGTACACAAAGGATGGCACGGGTACACCGGAAGTCATGTACATGCAGTTTGTACCAGAGTATCAGTTGATTCTGAAGGAGTCAGGAGGCGACTTTTTATTATGAGACTGCATGTGGACAGAGGTGTTTAGTAAACACGGGAGAGAAGAAAAGTCAATATCCATTCGCACTTACAATAGTGTGGTGATTACTGGAGAACTATTCATTTACACTAGGGTAAACAAAGAGATGCCAAGCTGAAACGGACTCGGCTGTGATCCAATTGCGTTCATAGAGTCATCATAAAGGCTTCGACTCTGACATCATTGCAGATGTTGCTAACCATGCCAATAAACTGGCGTTGGTCTCACTAACCCAGAGTAAAACCACTGACCCATGGTGTACACATCATAAACAGGAATCTTGCCATCTAGTGCTCTGAATATTGCCTCCGAGAAAGGGGGCATATTGGTGCATTCAAGTACTAGAATCCTGATGTCAGGCCGACTAGCAACAAAGCTTTTGGCAACGGCGACGAGCTCTGCCTCAATGTCTGCATGGACATAAGGGGCGCCCCTCCCAATTGTGCCCCTCAAATGACCGTCGGGAGGCACTCCGCGGATAACTACCTTGGAAAGTGCCTGTTCGGGCACAAAGCTTGCAAGGTGCTGAGAGCCTAGTCTTGACTCATCATAAGTGAGAACTCCCACACTCTTGCCAGGCGGAAGCAGAGGTAGTATTGAGGGCAGTTGGGCTAGCGACGACGTGGCGATCGGGATGGGCAACCTTGCGGTGAGTCTAACATATTCACAAATCAGACTTTGGGTTTCTCCTTGGAGTTGAGTTGATGGCAAATGATGTTCGGCATTACACTCACTCGGCTTGGGCTAGTGCAAGGAACCCGCAACTAGTGATGATGCCCACGCAACCTCTAGCCGCTAAACGCAGTCCCGCATCCACAAAACGGTCTATGAATGTAGAGTCATAGCTAGAAGACGTGACGACCTGGGAAACTTTTGACCCTTCTGCCATTTCACGGATGAGAGGAAACGGCCAGGTGCGCTCGTTGTAGGGATCACCCGGTGGTCGGTGTATATCCACCTCTATGGCAATGAAACCAAGCGGTGAGAGACTTTGTGTAGCTTGAGCCATGTTGAAGTATAATCTCAGTACTCGGAAGTTCACGTGGTTGACGAGCTCTTCGGATAGTTTTCGTTCTAGTGACAAAAGCGCCTTTCTTTAAGCAGACGCCGCGTCTGAGACTGCCGAGAAAAGGCTCTTGAGTTACCGATGCTTATTGGAACCATCAGCAACTACATGGACATCATCGATAACAGTTGGTTCACCCATGGGGGGTTTTCTGATATGCTCTCCAAACGATCAGCCGCACAATCACCCAATTGGAAGTGGGTTGTGGTTACCCCGCAGTTCGTACGTAAACTGATCAACTTGAAGGAGGGAAAGTTGTCGAGACAAAAAAGCCAAGGTCTCCCCGGATTCGGGTCCTCCCGAGTGGGGTCTCCTGCGGTTCGGAAGAATCCGACCACTGTAGAAACCCCTCCGTGATTCGGATCCGCACCGGAAAAAAGCCGGGCGTAAGAGTTGAGTCGATCTGTCGGCGAAATGTAATAGCTGATGTGTCTCTGTCTGTCACTGACGGGCAATAATTCCGGTAATTGTGGGATAACTCGGGCACCTTTTCAATGTTATTTCGAAAGCAGCCGGCGATATTGCGGCTAAATGACATGTCTTTTTCAGTCGGCTGCTTGTCTGACACCCTGCGTATTTCTTTCTCCTGACATTCATATATCCCGCGATTACTGTTGAATTATATCGAACAGCCTGCTATCATACCACAATCCTTGCTCTATCGTTGAGAAGAAGACATTTTGCACACAATCATGGCACCAGCTCGGACAGATGACTTGGGCTCAAGGAAGCCCCGAGTCGTGGCACTCGGCACTCCGAAATATGTCGGCGACGACTACCTCGCCGACTTCAAGACCGAGTTCGACTATTCCGTTCTCGAAGCAACAGACCGCAAGGAAACGATAGCCATGCTGCCAGAGGAGATCGAGAAGAACGGCCCCATCGATGCCTTCATCATCCGCATGGGCACACCGCCGTACGAGCCGTTCGACAAGGGTCTCTTGAGCGCTCTAGCACCCAACTGCAAAATCATCACGTCCGCTAGTGCCGGGTACAACGAGTTCGACGTGGAGTGGATGGCCTCGGAGGGCATCTGGTTCTGCAATACAGTCGACGCCGTGGCCGAGGCAACGGCGGATATGGCTCTGTTTTTGACGCTGGCTGTTCTGCGCAATACGAGCAATGCAGAGAAGAGCGCCAAGGCCGGCACTTGGAGAGCGGTCCCAGGGCTTGTTCCTGGGAGAGATCCGTCCGGCTTGACTATGGGTATTGTCGGGATGGGGGCTATTGGCAAAGTATGTTCTGGCCCATCGCATCAAGACCGCATTGCAGAATTGCCAAGCTAATCTGAGTAATCGCGCAGTACCTCGCAAAGAAAGCAGCCGTCTTCAACCTCAAGATCAGATACCACAACCGCCACCAGCTTCCCGCGGAAGATGAAGCAAAGTACAACGCGATATACTCCCCAACACTGGAGGACCTTCTCGGCAAGTCCGATATCGTGTCACTCAACTGCCCGCTCAACGACCAGACGACTGGTCTGATCGGACCCGCAGAGTTTGCCGCAATGAAGGACGGCGTATTCATCGTCAATACTGCTCGCGGGCCCGTCATCAACGAGGCGGCGCTCAAGGACGCTTTGGACTCTGGCAAGGTGGCGCGCGCTGGCCTCGATGTTTTCTGCGACGAGCCCAAGCCAGACATGGCCTTGGTTCAACACGATAACGTGATTGCGCAACCTCATCTTGGTGGCCTCACAGACATGGCTTTTCAGAAGGCTGAGAGGGAGTGTTTTGAGAATATTCGGGCTTTATTCAAGAGTGGGAAGCCTAATTCTCCTGTTATCGATATCCATGATAGAAAGGCAAAGGCTTTGGCGAAGTGAGCTAACAAACCTAACAAAAATTCCTAGTTAGAGGTTAGCTAGGATCTGAAGGAAATCATGAATAGCGTAGAGCGTCAGCGCCGTAGACTTTCGAGAGCGCTCCGCAGACATCTGCAGCGACTCAAGAATGCTTCAAACAGATCTAGTGTCACAAACTTACATCACAACTTCATAAGATGACAGCAGAAAGAGTCCAATATCTTCGCTCGACAAGCTGCGTGAACGTGAGCTCAAATAGAACAGAACACACTTGCTATAGTACATTGTCTCCTGACCAGCAATCTCAATAAGACTGATTCATCTTCCTTCCTGTCTACACTGGCATGCACAAGGTCCTAACTTAGAGGAATAATACACAAGCAAGCTGACTGCAATCATGCAGACCGCACTGCCCTAGAGAATGCACACATTTCCGACGGGTTGAAGACACGAGTTGAACCGAACACAGTCTCGATTCATAAATGCTACCCGGCTTCTTCTAGGAGTACAGACCACGGCTCAAATATTGAGTTATCAATTCAAGCCTGCTAATGTAAGATATAGTAATTATGAAAAGCTTTCACCCCTCTAAACGAAGCAATTTGACGATGGCTTCCTCGCGCCTGGTATGATTGTTCCTCCAAGCGTGGCAGTATCAACGCATTTGATTAAACCTTTTGGCTGACCGCACGTGCGCCATTCTTCTCAATGCTAGATTCGGGCTCGCTGTTTTGATCGCTTCTACATATATACATGTTAGCCTCTGGCTTTGCGCTCAAGATTTACGACTTGAGGGTACTGACACTGACTCTTGAGCGTCGATGATTGCCTCTTGCTCCCGAGCTTGTTGCTTCAGTTGCTTAGCCCTGCGACTGACGTTCCACCATGGTCCCTTGAAGAGCTCGTCTAGTTGCTCCAAGCTCTGGAGAGATGTTTCAGGAACAACGCAGTAGACGTAGATTAACGACAGAAAACACCATCCCGCAAAGAAGATGAAGGCACCCCAGTTATGAGTCTGGCTGAGCAGCGAAGGCATACCCTTGTTGACGCCGAAGAAAAAGAGCCAGTGGAAAAACTGTGAAAAGGCGCTGCCGAAGGAGCGGAGATGGTTGGGCCACAGCTCTGCACCGAAGACATAAGGTAGAACGAGGAGGCCTGCACAAGTATTAGCATGTTGCTTTATTCGACCTGTCACATCTCTGTGGTTTACTCACCGACAGCGTATCCGAATCCGTGAATGAAAACTGCGGCGATAGCAGCTTCGCTAGATCCCGGTGCAACATTACCCTCCTGGCGATACTTGATGAAGACACCAATGTACAGATCAGAAATCATCTGGATAGTGATACCCGTGAACAGACTGCGACGGCGACCAAGGGCATCGATGAAGAAAAAACTGGCAATCAGAGTGAAGAAGAATTTGGCCATGCTGTACATGCCGCTGAGGAACAAACTACGGGCAGTGCCACCACCTAGTCCCAGCATGCTCAGGATGGGGACGAGGTAAGACGTGACGCTGTTTGCTCCGGAAAGTTGAGCGAGAGCGTACGACAGAACGGCCTGTTGCACACGACGCAGGTTTGAGGGGACCAAGAAGGCATCCTTCACCAGCAGGACGAAGCCGGGGTTGCGTCCAAACTTGTCTTCCTCTTTGGAGATCTGGTCCTTGATGTCTTCGATCTCGGTTGCCATCCGGGGGTGATCGACCGGCAGCCCTCGGAGAGCCGTCAGATTTTGGATCGCCTCATCGTCCCGTCTGGCAATGAACAACCAGCGTGGACTTTCATAGAGCAGGAAGCTTGCCGCGATGAGGATGGCCATAACGATAGTCGGAGAGAAGAAGACGATCTGATACTGAAGCCTGCCGACAGCGACATGGATGAAGCAGGCGTAGACGATGAAGACCGACACAGTCAAGGAAAGCAGCATGGCAACGCTAAACCATACCGCCAGGAGACCACGGATCTCTGTAGGGGCAATCTCGACGATACTGACAGGTCCAGTGACTGTGAGGGCACCAATACCCATGCCGGAGACGATGCGAGCAAAGTAGAGTGCACCGATGTTACCCATCGACACGGTCGCGATGATTTGTCCGATGATCCAAATGGTCATATAGAGGCGATAGGACCGCATTCTCCCGATGCGATCATTGAGGAAGAATGACAAGCCGGCGCCGATGCCAGCTCCGATGTAGACGAAAGAGATGAAGTTGGAGACTTGAGTAGGGTTCGTGGCCGATGTGATTCCAAAGTCTTTCTGGAAACCGGGAAGGGACGGCACCACCGAGGAGGAGCCTTGATCCCATGCTATGTTGACCGGTCAGCCAGTGCATCTTGGAAATGCCAATGATGGTGAACGGAGTCTTCTTACTGATGGGGATGCCACTCGTGGCATAGAGGGCAGCGGTAAGCAAGAGCTTTCGGTTCGAGATGAGTTCTCGAGGCGACTCCCTGATTGCTGTGATGTACTTGGCGAAGGTCGACTCCGTGAAGACTTGCTTGACACCCATCTTACAGAGGACGACGCGTTGTCCTTCTTGGGTCCGAGTAATGGTCCGGCAAATCGGCACCGTCTGTATGGTTGGCACGAGAACTCGACCGCGTTGTATAGGTAGTGAGCAGATGAAACCTTTGGCGACAAATGAGTAATTAGATGAACCAAAGGAGTCGTGTGTTTTGTCGATGGGTCCTGCGATATATCATCGGACAGGGAGATTGCCCAATCGGTATCTATATGTCAACCTGTTTGCATATTTGTTGGCTCGTTATGCATCAGCTGGACGTTATCAGAGCCAAGATGCGAAAGAGAGACGTTCGGTCTGGCTCAACCCCTACCCTACCCTGCCTCGAGCATGCCTCGCTTGCTGACCAAAGAGTCCCAATCGGCAGGGTCGTCGTCTGTGCAAGCTCAAGATCCGGGGTAGATACCTCTGACGGGGGTTTCCAGTCCATTCGTCCCTACGGCGCATGACCAAGAATCCCTTTGAGATAGGATTCTTCCTCGAACCCCCCTTCAGCGTAACCCGTATCAGGCTAAGGTAGGTTGACAGTCACCGGCTCTGATGGGACTTGCAGTAGCTTGCCAACCACAGCCCTGGATCGTTATCCGGGACAATCCGGGCAAGGGTGTCCATGCCTGCGGCACACTGCGAAATGACGAGAGCGGGGTCGTAGAGCGACACAGACTAGGACGTTATCAGCTGCCGGGACCGGACCCAAGACCGCGCGGTGGGTGGAGGGCCCGTGGGGCACCCGGCACGAGAGTGCTCCGTTAGGGGAGGATGTATCTTTGATAGTGACGGCGACTGGGGGATGAACTTATCTAATTGGATTGGTTGCGCAGTTGTTGATATCAATTTGAATGTTTATGGTCTTGCTCTCTGCTAAGTTGCCAATCATTGCCAATGTGATTTTGTTCACACAGTCACAAGTCACCAGGCTCTTACAAACTTCGACGTGTTGTTGAATTGTTTAGTTAACACTGTTGCTCCTCAATCCAGGCGTCGCAGGGACTTTAGCTCCCGCACTTTCTTCTAGCTCCGACCCGGCCAGCAGCGTTGCCACGGCGTTTACCGAATAATCATACCATACGACCTGTCGGCACTCGACTAGTTTGCTCGATCCAAGAGAAAAAGGCCGTTCAACGCCGTCCCAGGAAGCTGGTGTTCCCATCTTTCGCCTGTCGACCCCTCGTCGCCGAAAGTTTAGCAGCAGGCTACTGAAGTACGAACAATCCTTTCGGACTCCTCTCCGAAACCTGGCCAGAGCTTCTAGAACGTCTTGGGGCCAAAACTCCCGAGAGTAGCTTCTGCATTTTTTCTTGAACTCTGCTCAGCTATACCAGTACATGCAGTAGCGCAGCCAGAAACCATGGCACGCTCACCTAACAAGGACGATGCGGTCATCATCGTCGGGGCCGGCATCTTTGGTCTCAGCACCGCGTTGCACCTGTCTCGCCGGGGATACAAGAACGTCACCGTCTATGACAAACAGCCCTACCACGAAAGTCTGTACTCGTATTTTAAAGGCGCCGATGGAGCCTCTGCAGGTAAAAACTTTATCACTCTTCTAGTGCTGCTGGCAGAAGGCTAATGGACGATCCAGACATGAACAAAATCATCAGATCTGCTTATGGCGCACAAACGGAGTACCAAGGGTTGACCATTGAGGCGCTAGAGGGCTGGACCGCTTGGAACGAGGAGCTGGCAAGCGGGAAGACAGTCCCACCCGGCCTAACCACCAACGACCGCGTATTTGTCAATAACGGCAACCTGTCACTCTCAGACTCAGCAGCCCTGCCGCAATTCGAGCAGGACACCGTTGACAACATGGAGGCAGCAGGGCATCGAAATACTCAACTGATCACCATTGATGAGAAACATCAAAAGATCGCTGCTGAAAAAGGATGGTCGTTCGGAATGGACCCGTTCCGACGTTTGCAAAGAGGCCTCAATGCGGCCGGCGTTCTCGACACGACGGGAGGCATGGCCGTGGCTGACAAGGCCTGTCGTTTTGCGCTGCATAAGGCAGGAGGTCAGGGCGTCAAGTTTGTGTTAGATTCGCAAGCTGGTGCCCTTGTCTCGTTGATTTACGAGGGGAAGAAGGTTGTCGGGATCAACACCCGAGACGGCAAGGAGCACTATGCGAAGCTGACTATTCTGGCGTGTGGTGGCTGGACACCTTCTTTACTCCCAGCCATGGACGGTCTGTGTGAGACGACGGCAGGATCGGTGGTGCTGCTCAAAATACCCCGTGAATCGCCGTTGTTTACTCGTTTCGCACCCGAAAACTTCCCAACCTTCACTTACAAGGTGAGGGACGGCGCTGAAGGTGGTCTGTACGGGTTCCCTAGGGATGAGAATGGCTGGCTGAAGATCGGCTATCGCGGAACCAAATACACAAACCCCGTCAAGCAAGCTGACGGCGAGGAACGCAGCGTACCCGTAACACGGTGGTCGAGTGCATCGGCGCCTAGCGATCCTAACGAAGCGACTAATGAGCGCCTGACGACGATTCCCCAGCAAGCTCTGAAAGTTTTGCGCTTATTCTTGGCAGAGAATCTCCCGGAGCTAGGCACCGAAGGCATCGATATCTCTTTCACTAGAGTGTGTTGGTATACGGACAGCTACGATAATCATTTTGTGATTGACCATGTCCCCGACACCGAGGAGTCACTTATGGTTGCGACTGGCGGGAGTGGACACGCGTTCAAGTATCTTCCCAACATTGGTAACTGGGTCGTAGATGCAGTGGAAAAGAAGGGCCAAGACCAGATTCCACCAAAGCTTTGGAAGTGGAGACAGATTGGGAAGCAGGAGGAGCCGTATAATGTCTTAATGAAAGGAAGCAAAGGCCCGACAGCTCTCGGCAACGTGCCTTTGGCTGCCGAGATCGAGGTATCTGGCAGTGTCAAATCTAGGTTGTAGAATTGAGGCTAGGACTCGACATATGTTGAAACCCAAGATGCTACTAAGGTACTGTCGGATTGGAAGTCCAATTCGACCTCGACGTACGGCCGACCGCGCAGGGGCCAATTACGGGCCCTACTTCCGATTATCGCGGCCTGCCCAACCTACGGGTTGGAACCTCCCTTTTACACCTACGCAGCAGATTATATAGTTCAATTGACCTACTTCGTCAACCCACGGTTCGAACCAATCAACCAATATCCCTGTGATAGGGATACCAACAGGTACCATCAATCACTATACCATCCAAATATACACAGACCGAGCTTCCGAGTTTTCTCCTGCGATTTGACTTTTGTTTCAGCCCTAACGTCGATCTTTAGCTACTTTGGCTGTGGAACGGGAGATTTCCAGGTTTGTGCGACTCTTAGCTGAGGTTCGGCTATAATGACCGTAGCGTCGGATGTGCTCCCCGAATACTTATTAAAAAAACACGCGCCGTCCAACTATCTTGTAGCCTCTTCCACCGTATGCTATAGTCTACTGCAAATAAGATTTGGTCCGGGCTTCTTCGGACTGTCCGTCCTGCATGAGCTACATTAGTCCCAAATAACTTCGGCCATGCCTCAGTTCACCAGATCTTGCTGCAAATCAGATGCATGTAGACAACGCGCAAAACACGAAGCTTTTGTACAAACCTCGGTTGGAAGTATCTATCTATTATTGCCTTTTGCAAATTAACGAACGTCTTCCAAAAAGCCCACGTCCGCGTAAAGAATTACCCGCGAATCACGCTGAGCCTCCTAAGCTGTGCCGTGGCATCATCGTAGCTCCTCCTCCCCGACCTCCGTCGACGCCGGTGCCGGCGATTTCTGGGGATGATCCTCGAGATTTTGGTTCTGGGCATTCCTCGAGCCCAGCTTCTCCACTCGTTTAGGGTCTTTGAGAATAAAGCGGCGGACGAATTGCCAAATGTTTGGGATGCAGGTCGTGAAAACGCCCACGTCGAGCTCTATGTCTGACCACACGGCGACGGGCATTGCATCGACTAGAGATGGTCAGTCCCGCTGAGAGTAGCACGCCAAACAGTGTTTGTTTTTGGATGATTCGAAGCTCTACTCACCAGTTGGATTGGTCGACGCAGTCGTGTACCTCAACACCGCCCTCAGTCGTATACCGCTGGAGATTGTAAGGCTGATCGTAGTAGAGTAGTTAGTCGTATGTCAGAGATGAAGTTGGCGTTCAAGGGACAGAGCTTACAATAGGCCGAGACTGAACATGAACATCACCGCCCATTTCTTTCGAGGCTTCATGTTCAGGAAAAGCACCTGAGATGCCGGTAGAATGAGCATCCACACGTCTAGTACGATGTTGACCACCCCGTGGACCACGCCAAGCGGCGGCACCGGTATACAGTGACCATCCTCCTCCCCGGTCCATTGTTTCCAAGCTTTCCCGATGGGTTGACACTGAAAGGCCACTAGGAACACGGATCCCATCCCGAGCCCCACGGTAACAGCTTGTGTTGTCCACAAGACCCGGCGAAACTTCTCGCCAGGAAAGATTCGGAGGTACATGAATAGTATAGAGGATTTGATCAGCGTCAGCGTGAACACATAGAGCAGTTGGCCGATATAAAATGTCTGGAGCCAGTCAGCGTTGTATTCTCGTCTGAATACGCGTTGTCGTTGGAGGGAAAGTTATTAATACCAAGAAGTAGAGGTCGATTTGGTCGAAAGTGAGACTCCAAATATCTCGCCCGGCGCCGTTCAGTTCAGCTGTGAGGTAATTAACACACCATTTATCGAAATTTCTTTTTCATATTGCATAGGGATCTTCTTACCGACGTAATTTACCGGTATGAAGCCAAACATTATGATCTCGATTCACGGGTTAGACGTTTCTTCATCATATTTTCCCAAACCAGGGGTCGTAACTCACATATGTCAATGAAATGGTACTGTCATCAAATCCCCAGGGTGATATCCGGGCGATCTTCACAACTAAGCGGATGATGATGGCGAAAGTGGGAAGTGTGAAGAACAGAACCAGGCGCATGATCTTGACAGCGGCGAAGTCGTCCTCAACCGGAAAGCCGCACTCCGTCTGCGTGATATTCTTCGTGACTGGAGATGTGGTAAGCAATGTGCCGTCTTGGTATCCCGACCGAAACATCGATTCACTGACCCAGGGCATTTTTAACTGAACAATCCGCTCTGACACATGTCTCGACTAGGTTTATGTATGAAGTATCATGGCAGAGGCATGCTTGATCACCGGAAGTGCATGTCGACTTTGGAATGGCATCCAGTAGGCAAGGTACCTGCCTTTTATGAGCAAGACTTCATGGTAAGAAATGCATTGTGTGAAAGTACTTACTGCGCATGGTGGAATGTCGCCCAGGCTGGATGCTTTCGTAAGGGTACTGAGGCAGAGTAGGAGCAACGGCGGTGCGAGCCGTGCCCAAAGCATGACTGCAAAAGTGATAGATAAGAGGAAGATATGCGGCTCTTTTCCTTCCTGGACAGAGTCGTTTGTCGCCTCGATATCTGCTCCTTGATCGCTGGTTTCCTAATTGGTGGCAACCACGATTTGCCTTATGGGAATTTGTAGAGCGTGGTTTGATTCCGGTTTTGCATCAAATGGCCCATGGGGAACCTTGCCTCAATGGAAGAAGGAGGCAAGCGAGAGGGACTCCCCGTATGTACGATTCCTTCAGCCCGATTAGATGAACGGCCAAGTTAGCCTCGCAGCCGCCACGGCAGTGCCTTCATTGGTTTTGAGGTGGCTCGACTCCGCACCGCTGACATTCCGATGCCATTTGCGTCAATCTCGATAGCAGTGGCGTTGAATGGCCACAAAGAATGCTTTATATCTAGTCCATCAATTCCTGAAAGAATGCCAGCATCGACTTCAGATCGAAGCCGGTTTCGGTCTAGATCATTCAACGCACGGATAGGCGGTCCAGCCGAATTATTTCTCGATCTATCGCATGGTTCCATGACGAGATTATCTGGATTGCAATGACCATTGATGCTATGTAATCAAGCAAGCTAGTGATCGGAACTCTATCACAATACCTCGTTGGCGCTTCCCCCTTGAGATCGGGCCGAGGCTAGTCCCGTCTCCTAGGAGGATTACTCCACCAGCTCCATGCGGGCCGCGATGATTATCACTGACTCTATCAAAATCAAAACCGAAGAATCGCATATTTACTTCCCAGGGGCCATTTTTATTCCCCAAGTTGACTTCTCGGGCATCGACCTTGCGCACTAATTTATCAAAAATTGTTCATTTGCAAGGACTGTCTATCAGCCAGCAGAGACTTCGGCCAAGACAGCATCCCATCAAGTCTTGATTGTTAGAAACAGCATTCTGTTTGGTATCAAGATGACTCTACCTTTTGAAGCCTCTGTAAATTGAAGGAGAAACAGTGGTGGACTTAGACGCCATATGCTCTCCCACCGCACGAACGATATAAATAAGAGTCATCTGGCAGTGGATAGGGTATCTCGTGAGAAATTTCCCAAGAGCCAACAATTCCGTCAGAGTCTACACGGGCTCTTTGAATCTTCAATTTCGGCCTAGACAATCATCAAATAATTCTCGAGTAAAGTTCCACACTTTCACATCCAACCCTCTCTCCCTCATACCCCCCAAAACTTCCTCATTATCAACCCTCTCCCCTTCCGGACCAACCAAAAACACACCACCCCCGGACCTTTTTACACCCTCGACTTCTCCAGGAACTTTCACAACTCCCTGCCGCCCCCGAGAATCATACAAATCACTCGTCGCCAAAAATACCCCCCTCTGACCCGCCTCCTCAACACCCATCTCCCCGCTAACGTCCACCCCAAACCCCCTCGCCCTCTCCAACCCAGGCGTCGCCACGGGTCCAGGCATAGAATGCACAAAACTCACTCCCGGGTTCTCCCTCGCCAACACCTCAAGCGCGAGCGTACCCATGGTCGTAGCCTGCACGGAAGCAGGCCAGTAACCCCAATTCCCGGGCTTCCGGAGGTCGAGGTCCTCCTCGTCGGGCATGGGACCCTCTAGCCCCGCCGCCAGCACCGATACGACGCGCGGGCGGGCCGCCTTGTGGAGGAGGGGGAGGAGCTTTTGGACGGCGCGGAGGCGGGTGTAGTACAGCGTCGACATGGACGGGTCTAGCCCTTCTACGGTGTTTTGGCGTCCTTCAAAGGCGATGAATCCCGCGGAGAGGAAAAGGATGTCGACTTTTGTTTCCCTTTGGAGAATGGTCTCCATGGCGGCGTCGATGTCGGATATTAGGGCATGGTCTGCGGGGAGGAGGGTGTAGCTGGCATCTGGGTTTGCGCTTGCGCGCAGCGAGGCAAGGAAGGTCTCGTGAGATGCGACGGTCTGAGGGCGCGCCACGGTGTAGATGTGTGGAGAGCGCGCGTGTTGGGCAAGGTGCTGGAGGGTGCTTCTGCCGATGCCTGATGTTGCGCCGATGAAGACTGCTACTAAGCCCTTTGGGAGAGATGCGACGAGGGCGTTGGATTGGTTAACTACGTGAAAGGAGACCATGGCTGAGGAGTTTGGAGCGAGTGCTTTCTGGTCAACGTTATCTTTGGGTTACTGTGTCCCGAAGTTGGAAAGTTTTACCATGCGTTTACAAGACATATATCTTATAAGTTATTAGCTACTGGACATTATCGTCCATGTCACCCGATATCGATGTCGTTACTCGATGGCAATCCGTAAACTATCGGCATTAAGCCAAAATTCGATCGAATTTCGGACGAAAGAGATGCATTCCCCTAGTATTAGTTCGTCTCATTGGTCGGCTAGAATCCCTCATTAGTGCAGGGTACCGATAAGTTGGTCAGCAATAAGCTGTGGCTCGGATAGATAGGTCTGAAGCGGACGATAAAAATAATCCGAATTGCGAAGGTGCCAGAGAGGTATGTTTGTCTGTCTCGGACCTGCTAGCCTTCTAACATTTGTGATCTGGTGGAGACTCGGGTATCAAAGCCTCATGTCCTTCGTATCCTCACTCTTACCACGATTCCAAACCCGCGCATGCTCTCCCATATTCCCATCTCGTTTTCCCGGCGAAAGGTTACTTCCTCCCCGCGCACCGTCATTGAAACATTTTCCTCAAACGTTGTGGAAGGAGACGTGGGCTTCATAAACTGTCGAGAAGGCGGTGGGCCCGATGAGGGATCTGTGCCAGCTCTGAATAGCCCCCAGCGGCCGGCCTTTCTATCCTCTTTTGCTTCTTCTACGACGGCACGGACGACGGTACGGTCGAGTTTTGGTTCGGGCTGTAGCCGTTTCGCGAGACGCCGGGCCAGACCTTCATCGCTCCACCACCACTCTCCTTCCCTTGACGTCGACGCACCCGTATTGACGTCGTCGTCCCAGCGGCCCCATTCGTCGAATTCATAGGAAGAACCTACAACTGCATTTTCGGAGGCTGAGCCCGTGCTTTGACCCTTGGTGTCGCCCCTTCCCTTAGAATCGGGGTCGGGCTCCGATTCCACGCGGATGACCTCCGCGACCTGGCCTGCCTTTGGGTCGGCATCTGAAGCGATGATCCATTCTGGACCGACTGCCGCAGCGGGCACGAGATAGAGCTCTGTTGAAATCGGTGGGTGAGGAGTCGTTCCTAGACGTGTCAAGAGTGACGTGATGTGGGGCGTTAGGAGCGGAAGAAGGGTTGTTGTCGTGACGGTATCACGGGCGGTCTGCTGAGCTTGCGTTTCGCGGAGCAAGAAAGAGAGGTTGTTGAGGGTCACTGAGACCGATGAGTTGTGGTTGAGTGACGACGATGAGTGGTATGATGTCGTTGCCTCGTTGTACGAGGGGGGAAGATCCCCGTCTCCGACAGGGTTCTTCGACATGGCAACAGTATCGTGAGTAGGTTTGGAATTGAATTGATGCTTTGTGGTCAGGCTTCTGCAACACAGAGTGAGACTTGCGTGAAAGTGAGCTCGTCGGGCTGATGCAGTCGTAAGGGAGATGATTGGAAGTCCGCCGTTCGTGGGTCACTGAGTGAATGACCTTGATAGATGAACGGTAAGCCTGAGCTCTTTGTGCCAAAAACGCCTCGGGCGACTCTGGCATCGGGTGCGTGCCGCAATGGTGACTGGACCTTGAAGGATCAGAAGAGAGAGGCAACGACTTTCGGTGCCGAGATGGGGATTCCGCAATGACGAAAGAGTGGGAACACGGCTCGACGTACTCCGTAGTATCTAGTCAGTTGCAATGCTCTCGGCCGACGCCGATGGGAGCATCGGTTCAACTTCTACAGGGCTGAACTCTTGTGACCGCAAGACCTGCACGAACAGCATGCAGTCGGACTCAGGATCCGGGGATGGTGGCGGAGATTATCGGGTTTCGTGGTCACGGGGTCCTCTGGGCGATCAATGGTATGCAGGGGCGGATGTGTATGATTATGTTGTGTCAAAGGGCAGACATGGATTGAGGCTGTGAGTTGGTTCGTGGGTGTTGTAGATCCTTGGATACCCTCTCTTGGGGGTCGGTTCAGGCGGCACTGTGGCTGGGCGAAGGAAGACAAGCAGGCGCTGTAAAGGCCACTCGACGATTATCGGATACGCTAATGGCAGGTTCCAAGGGTTCTCGGAGGCGTTTTCGAGTGCCTGGCGAAGGTGCCGAAAAGGAGAGGAGGAGGGAAATGCGCCCGACTAAAGTGCTGTGCTGTGCTGCGCCGCAGCTGGTTCCTATCAGAAGGGCTCAAGGAGACACTAGCGCGCCGCCATCGCTCAGCATTCCCGGAACAGGTGACCGAGAATGAGGCCCGCTCGTCGATTGACATGAGGGAAAATCAGACCCTAGGCTCGGTCATCGCCTAGGGAAAAGAAGGTCGAATTGAGTTCGAAGTTGATGTGGATATGTGAGCGATTTCTTGATGTTGATGCTGCGTGATTAAGATGCCCGTTTCAGCCGCAAGATATGTATGTTGGCATGCAATAGCAAAGTAAGCGTTCGGTGACGGGAATTACAGGCCTTCATCTTGCGCTGCCTGGAATCCTAGCAGCAGACTATGCCGTCTGAGAGGGTCTGTGTTGTATAGAAGAGAACGTGGATGATCTGACTCGGGCCTGTGCACTCAAGTTAGCCCGTCCCTGCATCTTCTGGCGCCTTTTGATGCATGTCTGACCTGGCGAAACCATGAAAGTGAGGGTGTTGTCGATGGTGTCGAGCGAAGAGGTGGAGGGCCTCAGATGGGAAGCGGTGGAGTGGATCGACACCTTAATTTCCCCAGATCAGCCACATTCGGCGATTAGGTGACTCCAGGCATCCATATAAGGCAGGCTTCGAGAAGAAGTCTAGCGCGTACTAGCCACACCACCTGACTTGACCCAGCCACAGGAGTGTTATGATTGGTTCGAATATTCCGAAAAAGTCACGTGGAGAGGTAGGACTGACTAACCGGGTGCCTGCCGTCTGATGCGGAATTCAAAGAACCAATCCAGCCACTCTCTTTCCGCCATTTCCTCCACCTACAGGTTCAACCGTCCAAGGGTGAAGGAAGGTTTTACCATATGCACTGCCGCCACCAACGGAGCGATGTTCTGACGGTGACCATTCACCAATGACACCGCCCAATCGCATTCTCCGCCCTCCAATAATGCTATGCCTTGCCACGAGGCTCATTTCATAGGCTGCCAGAATGGTATGTCGTGTAACGAGAACGCCTGGTCATGAATGGGTCACACGCTAGTCGCAACCGTTTACCGCCGCTAAGTTGCTTGCTTGGCTGGGCGTCTGCCCCCAGCCATGAACTACCTTACCCGAGATGCCAAGGTAGGTGACATGATGTGAGTCCATTCTTGAGCTTAGAGCTCAGGTAGAGCTTCGATCTGCCTCGCGGGCTCAAGGTATATAATAGAATGGTTCCTCCTATTTGCAGTGTTGTGTCACACCAACATAGAGCTACCTCAAGATACCCCGAGTCTTCTTGTCTATCACAGGGGGATCACTCTACAAATCCAACGAGCAATCTACGCCAGCAACGTCTGCTCCAAACATCCATCCACATACTACTCGAACTTCTCATAACAGACTCGTTGAGAAGCGGCCACCTTTAAAGATCTCACCCTCTTCTCCTTCTGCCAACCCTACCTCCATCTTTACCTTACCCTCACTCACTTCCACCCATACAACACCGCCAAAATGTCGTACAGAGTCGCCGCCCCCGATGAATACCTCGCCATCACGGGTATGTCCGTGAAGACGGTCAAGATCACAAAGGCCGCCTGGGTATGGCCCTTTCAACGCTGCATGCGCTTCCGCATCACTCCCCACGACTATGCTATGAGCCTTCAGGCCATGACCAAGGAGAAGCTTCAATTTCTCCTGCCCGTCGTTTTCACTGTAGGCCCCGATGTCAACCAGCGCGGTGCCAACGCCGCTCATCAATCGAGCCACCACTCCGAGACCTCTGACCAGCAGCAACACGATGAGGACGACAGCTACATTTCCTCCAACCGCCGCGAGGACCGCGGCGACGCTCTCATGAAGTACGCCATGCTCCTCGCCGAGTCCGCCGACAAGAAGACTAGCTCCCTCGTCCACCTCGAGAACATCGTCAAGGGCATCATCGAGGGTGAGGTCCGCGTTCTGGTCTCCAGCATGACCATGGAAGAGATCTTCACCGAGCGCGAAGTCTTCAAGCGCCGCATCTTCCGCAACATCCAGTCCGAGCTCAGCCAATTCGGCCTCAAGATCTACAATGCAAACGTAAAGGAGCTCAAGGACGCCCCCAACTCAAACTACTTTGAGTCCCTCTCCCGCAAGGCCCACGAGGGCGCCAGCAACCAGGCCAGGATCGACGTCGCCGAGGCCCAGCTGCGCGGTAACGTCGGCGAGTCCAAGCGCAAGGGCGAGCAGGAGCGCGAGATTGCAAAGATCAACGCCGAGACCGCCGTCCAGAAGACGGACCGCGACATCGAGCGCGCCACCGCCGAGGCCAACCTCGATACCCGCCAGGCCTCCCTCAGCAAGGACGTCGAGATCGCCCGCGTCGAGGCCCGCCGCGCCCTCGAGTCCAAGGACGAGGACCTCAAGCGCGAGGTCGAGGTCAAGCGCGCCGCCGCCGAGATTGAGCGCCTGCGTGCCACCGAGGTCGTAAAGGCCACAATCGAGCGTGAGGCCCGCCAGCAAAAGGCCGACGCCGAGGCATACGCCATTGAGGCCGACGCCAAGGCCAACTTTGAGAAGAGCCAGCGCGAGACCGAGGCAAAGGCCTTCAAGACGCAAAAGGATGCCGACGCGCACACCTCAGCCGAGTTCAACCGCACCACCAAGACGGCCGACGCCAACGCCTACAAGGCCCGCCAGGACGCCGAGGCGCACCAGTACTCTGCCCAGCTCAACGCCGAGGCCGACCTCGCCATCATGCTCAAGAAGGCCGAGGGTATGGCCGCCATGGCGGACGCCTACGGCAAGATGTCGACTGCCTTTGGCGGTCCCGCGGGTCTGCTGCAGTACCTCATGATCGAGAAGGGCACCTACGTCCAGCTCGCAAAGGCCAACGCCGAGGCCATCCGCGGCCTGCAGCCCAAGATTAGCGTCTGGAACACGGGTAGCCAAGGTTCTGGCGAGGGCGGTGGCAACTCTGGCATTGATACCATGCGCAACGTCTACCAGATGCTGCCTCCCCTGATGACGACCATCAACGAGCAGACTGGCATCACTCTGCCTGAGTGGCAGTTTGGCAAGATGAACGCCGGTATGCAGGCCATGCAGAGCGAGAACAACGGCAAGATCAACGGGTCCAAGTAAAGGATGATTGATAATATCACAGACACTCATTTGAACGATTGGGGTAGATCGGCGTTGGTGGCTTATGCCTGATTCACGAGTTTGATGATACCATAGCAGGGATGGCAATAGTCGATTTTATAGATCTCCTTTGTCTGTAGTTGTACTTTTAGCTTGATAGTTACTTAATATCTCCTTGAATCTTGGACACTAGTAAAATTCGATAATTCCGCTACCGCCAAGTGAATAACATGTAGAAAAACGGAACCTCACGTGATTGGTATTATAGTGTTCAAAGACTCGTACGGCATAGTATCGTTCCAGGTCGTTTGGCGGTTAGCGTCCGAAGTATAGGGAATATTGATAACATTCAGCAACGATGACCAGCTACGCATGCAATTTATACTACAATACACTCATTCTATAATCCCACAGTAGGATTCGCCTATAACGTTGTTGAAATAACCATCTCTGCACTACGAGGACTCCTGGGTATAATCCGGCACGGGAATCGCTTCGGGTGACTCGTAAGTCCATTCGTCAACTCCACCAGCGGTATAATCTCCTCCCCCCTCGGCCCTCTCACCCTCTCAATCTTGACCGTCGCGAGCATCGAAGCAATCACAATCCAAATGCTCGCCTCCGCAAGATGCTTTCCAACGCAAACCCTCCTCCCGAACCCAAACTGCCCCACTGGAAACGGCTCCCCGCGGCCGCCCTGTTCAACAGGGACGTACCTCTCCGGGTCAAATGCCTCAGGATCAGCATACGTCCGCTCATCGTGCGTCATCGCCCGCGCGTTGGCATACACGAACGATCCCTTTGGTATAGACATGCCGTCGTACACATCATCTTCCAGCGAGCGGTGCGGCACACCGAGCGGGGATACGGGGCACCACCGCAGCGTCTCCTGGACCATATAGTCAATGTACGGTAGTCTCGGCCGGTCCTCAAAACAAGGCATCCTCCCATCCCCCACGACCTCGTCCAGCACCCTCTGCGCTTTTTCCTGGACCTCGGGGTGCAGAACCATGTTGAGGACGAAGACTACCAGCGTCGACCACGTCGTGTCCTGCCCCGCGGCATAGACCGCCGCCGCGGCGCCCTTGATGTCGTCTACCGACAGCTCTGGCGCGATGCCGGATTTGATCTGCTCTGCCCTCTGCTCCAGCAGCATTTTAGTGAGACTGTGTTCTTGGTCCTGGGTCCTCTTGGCCGTCACGGCGGTGTAGGGGGCATCGTGGATCTGGCGGATCGCCCAGCTCCAGGTCCGCGCGAAGCGGAGTGATCGGTCTCTCACCAGCCAGTCGGGCAGATGCCGCACAAAGGGGAAGAAGTCGACAAGTGTCCCAGCCGGCGCCCCGCCGTGGCCGAGGGCGTATGATGCGTCCGTGGCCATTTGGATATACGGATCGGTATCACTCTCAACACTAACACCGAACCCAATCCTCATCACAATAGCCGTCGCAAACCTCCGCAACGCCGTCTCCCAAGACCCAGGGTCTCGTATGATCCCCTTGACCAAAATCAACGCCTCCCTCTCCTGTAGCTCGCGATACACCTGCACACTCGTCTTTGAAAAGCTCCGCTGCAGGATGCTGCGATGCATACGAAACTCCGAGCCCCACCGCATAAACGTCAGCGTCTTGCGCCAGCCCATCTCCTCGAATAACACGAAGCGCGGGCGGTCGCAGTAGTTTGCGCCCCGCTTATCGAGCAAGTCGACGGCGGCGCGGACAGAGTTGAGGACGATGATGGGCTGGCCTAGGACGTTGAAGGAGAGGATGTCGGAGCGGTATTCTTTCGACCAGGCGGCGTAGGCGTGTTCTGGGTTGTCGGCCGGGACGATGCGGAGGTGGCCGAGGATTGGTTCGCCCGGAGGTCCGGGCGGGAGCGGGAGCAAATGGCCCTGGTGGGTTCCGAGTTTGCGGAGTCGCGTGCGCGTGCGCCGGGTCCGTAGGGTATGGACGGTGACGGCGGCGAGGAGTAGGAGGAGGAGGAGCATGGCGACAAGCCGTGTCCTGTGCACGGATAGGACTTGCAATAGGGCCATTGTCGGGTAAGGTGCAGTGATTATCGTTGCAGGTATATAGCGAGCGTATCTAGTCGCAGGATAGTCTTACTAGTACCACCGAAGGTGGAAGGATGGGTTTAGGCGACGGGGATGCCTCGAGGCTCTTATACGGAAGTGTCACCAACGATAGCCAATGCGATACCAAATCCAACCTTGTCGTGATGCAGCACGCAGGAAGCCCGAAATGGCCATCTTGGCTGACAAGTGGAGGAGGGGCCGGTTCCCTTCCAGCACGTAATGATGAGGAGATCGATTCTACCAGTGGTTTATCAGCAAGGTGTTAAGAGCAAGAGTCAAGCAACACAGACTAAAAAGTCGTTTGACTCGGGTTAGTGCATATGAGAATCTTAGAATGAGGGTGACAAGCCGCCCAAACCAATACACAGGAAAACCTGGCCGGAAATTCTGCCCACGACAGTTTGTCGCATCCTGGTCAGAACCGGCAAAAGGGTCCGTAGCCGGCGACAAGCTCCTGAGTTTGCCGGACTTGGGCAAAATTATGGTCTTCTTACACTGCGGTCCGTCGCCCATAAGTGGTTTTCCGCGTTTCCCGTTTAGCGAGCTTCATGCCATTCTGGAAGCTGTCATTATGAATGTTTCTCGGACGTGGCTTAGGCCGTATCTCTTGAACCTCATGCCTACTCCGAACGTTACAATATCCGCATACCTTGTCCTCCCACGTGGCCCTCCATCCGCTAGTTCATCTCTAGTCTGACACGATGTCACCTAAGATTCAGATCTAGTCACGAGTAACGATTTCTAGTCAGTGACGTGCAGACGTAAACTCGCAACCACCGAGTCACACGGAGCCGCGTGGTGCCGTTTGTTCTGCTCTACCCCCCCTCACACACCTGATTCGTAGCCCACATAAGGGGGAGATGGTCGGGGCCGCAGCGGCGGTCGCTTAACCCGCGGCGCTGACTGACTCGGGCCCCCGCCGCTACCAAACGGGGATTCGGAAATCGATTCGTTTCGGAGGCGGTGCCGGGAACGTAACATGGCGGGCTCGCTACACGCGTGTCGGCAGAATCATACGGCCAGCATCCGGGCCACCATGCGAATCATGCCGACATGCTGGGACCGAAGATGTTGGATTTTGCGGATTTCTTTGCCCAATGGAGCGAGCCGCTAGCCGTTGGTTTCGCCAATGATTACTACGATCCTCCAAAGCCGATGATACCGACTCTTCAAGCAGCCCTTATGGCCATTCTCTAGTGTGTGGCTCTTGTACTGTCAAGGGAAGTTGTGGGTTGAGTGTGATTGCGGGGGATAGTGAAACGGAAAAGGGAGCGGTAGTTTTCAGGCCTCAGACACCTGAACGTTGAGCTACGATGATTACCCCTCTTACCTCTCATATAGATAATAACACGCAGGGAGCCTCTGGTGCGAGCAAGAGAACGGATAAGAGAACTAGAAAAAAGACAATAAATTCCGAACTGAGAAGCACCTGAAGGCTGGAGAACCTTCACTGCGTCCCACTTTCAGCATTGAGACAACGTTCCGTGAGAGCTTACCACAAGACACTATCGCAGCTAGACGATTCCTCCACATCTATATAGTTCTATGTTATATTTCCTTACGTTGATTTCAATACGTTGGCATAGGATTAAATTGAAAACAACGTATCGCTTGTTAGACCAGATAAGATATCTGGTATAATGACAGGAGAGATCTACCGGCCTGCGCAAGATAACACCCACGCTTTGTCCGTACTCGCTATTGAAGCTTGATACAACGAGGACAAGGAAAGGGACTCGATATGAAAAGAAGTTACAGTGCGCATGACCACTTAGCGCTGCTTAGGTTCACACGTAACTTGGAGGAGACATACGCCCTTCTGTCAAGTGCTCAAGCCGAGCAAACGGTGGGGAAGGGGTCGGCAAGGCGCACCTTCTGGATGATCCAATGTCAGGAAGACCTTCATGTCCACTCGGAGCATAGCATCCCCCGCCGCTCCCATTGGATGATCTGACAGTAATTCGCCTTTCTAGGAGAGCGGCTTTACGTTTAAAGTCGTCACTAGGCAAATGGCTGCATTGACTGGCACGCTTGCTGCTATCGCGAGCCCCTACTTCACGGTAGGATGCCCGGATACATACCCTTGTGCGATGCTTTCCCAGGCACATAGCCTTCGAGGGCAAGTCGATCGTCGGTCGGGCATCCAGCGGATGAGATTAGGCCAAGCCATCCGAGGAAAACCAATAGTAGGTACGCTGCATTAGCAGAGGGGCTTAAGATGCGTACGGCGGAAGCGGCATTGAGACATTGGTAGGTTAAGTATCTGGAACCAAAGGGTTGGAAACTTGGGTACCCAAATTTCACCTTTCTCCCAGACGTCATGGTATTGTGGCCAAATAATTCCGTTTCCGGGATGAGGTGAGAATGAGGGGGGTGGGGGGCTTATTACCTCAACTACATAGGTAATCTCGCCCCATCCCTCATCACTGCAGACGACGAGGAGCCATACCAATATTCTATCCTAGAGGGCTTCTGGAGTAGTGAAAAGTCATCCGGTAACGCCATCAATCGTACGAGCAAATAGGGGCTTGAAATAGTATGAGGGCTTGCGATGAGACGTTCCCCGCTATCCTTAGGAGGTGGTCTTCGCGTCAATAAGTGCGACTCGCTATTATTGTATCTCTAGCAGCACCCGCATCTATACCCCCATGTCTTAACCCTTAGAGGCCGAAGGAATGGTAGTAAGATCTCGTGGTTGCGTCTCCTGCCGTCAAGCAGTCCCAAGAATGGTGGGACTGACTTGCGCAGAGTTAGTGGCTTATACAGACGCTTGAGATGTCAACCAACAAAGCTTTGACGGCCGAAGGTACCCAGAAGGATGGCGAGGGGTCCATGTTGTGTATGGCGGCCTAAATTTACACATGCCCCAAATGAGGTGTTTCCTTACGACCTCTTCGAAGCTGACTGCATTCTTGAGTGGCAAGTCCAATTATAGTCTGCTCACCGTCACTGGGATGATCCCCCGATGAATACCTACGTGAGGCTTCCGTACTTCCCTCTACCCTCCTTCTTACTGTCCAAATTCTGTTTATCTGATAATTAACGATTTGCCTGAATTACATAGATTTCACGCAAGTCCATGTGCCTGAACTTTGATCGAGCCTACATAGTAATCAGTCGGATCACAGTATGGCGTAATAGTCAAATCTGTCGATTACATTATGGAGAGTGTCGTCAATAGCCTTTAAGTAGCCGAGAATGTACTTTTAAGTCCGAGTAAGCTATTGGAAAGAGGAGAAAGGCATACAATCTTGAGTTCGTCAACTCGAATCAAATTGCCAGCTTTAAGCCTCAGAGTCCGAATTAGAGGTGTCGCTCCAAATAGCCTGTTTCATCGCACGTCTCCCAGAAGAAAAAGCATGCTGGACGAAGCCAGTATCATGCGCCACCGCTATGATAGAATCGCTTCCGCTGCTTGACACCTCTTCCATTCCACGGACTTGACTAACAGTGCGAAGCCCAACTGCAGACCTCTTGAAATGAGTAGCACCTGACACTATTCTGGGGTTTGGCAAGCGGTCGGCTGGCTTGAGCTCCGGAAGATGACCGGATGGTTTGGAACCGACGCCTCGCAGCTTGGCACTAGCTGCACTGTGTTTTGGTAGTACTACTCGCTTGCGCTTCCGAGGATTGTCAATCTCCTCAGAATCAGGTGGCTCCACGCGCTCAAGATGGTTCTGTGCAGGCCTCTCTGGGCAGGCCACAATATTCCCCTCTTTCGTTACCAAGAGACCGAAGCCTTCGTCGTCTACCTCCGTGTCAATGAGACAGCAGCAGTAGGACGAGTCGTAGTACAATGGTAAACTCAAAGTAGGCATGCTTCGGATGATTCTTTTTCCGCCATGACCCATGTAATGTCTTTTAATGACAAGGGATCGTTCATCACCTACGCCTTCAAACTCGAGCTCGAATAGCCAATACCCCTTGTGAGGCTGGGGAAGTTCGATGACATCGCAACAGGATGCAAGACGGAGATACTTCTTCCTGTCAGGAACCTGTAGAAAAGGGTCGCAAATAATCCTGACTCTAGATTTACCACTGAACCACCTTTTCCAGGGACTCGGTCCAGTCTGCTCATGGGTCATGTCAGTATACACAAAGAGTAGATGACAAGCAACGCAAAGCAGATCGAAACAACTTACTAGGTCCAATGAGACCTCAATCTCTTCTTCCCACAAGCCCCCAGATTCCTTCGGCCCTTTGGGTAGACTTCCCCGTTGGAATCCAAACGCGGCGCCCTTTGCAATTGACTCTCGTACAGACATGGTGTTCGCTGTCGCAAGTGCTGCCCCTCGGTAAATGTTCCATGAACTGCCCTTGAATGTCAGCAATGCTGTCCTCGCAGTTCTGCTTCGAGCTATCGATATGTTACTCACTCGTCCTTTGGTGTGTACATCGTGGATGGCTCCGATAATCCGTACCGCCGGCAGGCCAAGTTGAGCCGAGCTTGGACAGCAGAGTTCTTCCCACTGCCCCCTGACAGAACAACTTTGACATGGGCGCTGAGAGACACTGCTTCAGCGATCTTCCTTTCAGCAAGATTCAGAGGCTCTCCCATGGCCCTCAAAAAACAGCTCTTGGATTCATTTAGCGAAATGTTCACGCTGCAAATTTGTTGCTCGTCGTCAGGGTTCGGACAGGTGAAGTACATCGGCTCGACCTCGCATCCTTTGAAATTCACGATTTTTCGCTGGAATGATTCGAGAAGTTCTGATCGTAGTCGAGGTGGTAAAGCGCGCTTAGTAGTCTTCTCCACGTACGACTTCATGAACTTATTAACCTCCTGCTCCCACCATTGAGTACCGCCAAAAGTCGCTTCGGAATACGTGTCAGATATGTTGAGAAACAAGCTAGGCAACAGGACATACAAAATGTTTGACCCATTCGGTGGTAGCTGAGTTTACCGTCGGTGCTCTTCTGTGCACTGAACATGCACCCGTTCTAAAGATGGTCGTTCGCCCTGTGAACTTGTTTCCGGACATTGGCGATGTGATAGATTACTTACCATCGTGTGACCCCCGAAGTCCAAAAAGACGACAAGAACTGGGATCTGTGGTGACACAAAGATCTCATCGACGAGCCGTTCAGTCGCAAACAATTTATGGGCCGATGCAAGGCTTTCAACGTGAAAGCTGACTTCGAAATTCGGTTTGATCCAAGTCGAATTGGGGGGGATGTTCTTTCTCAAAAGATTCTCATACTCGGTTCGTTCTCCTAGTCTCCAATGAGCAGGGTATGACAGCCCGATCTCTTCGATGTAGAAATAGGTGCGCGAGTCAGAGTCGTTGTTGCCATTACAAAAGCTCTCAACTCGCTCAATCACTGTTCTAGTGATATCATTCATGCCCTCTTTGACAAGGTACCAAGTTTCTTCCGCTTGCGAGCCCTGAAACAAGGCATCAGTAGCATCATCTCCGGTCTTTGGAGATGTGGAGAAGAAGGGCTTTGACGGCACCGGTTCCCTATCCTGGTCGATGTCTTCGCCCGTATAGACCCTTCCAATGCCATCGAGATAGAGTGCCGAACTGAAAGCGCCTTTTTGATAGCGTTGATCATGCCCAGGCAAAGCATCTTCAGTGAAAATGAGATACTTCTGACGAGTGTCTCGGGTTAGAATACTGCCACGAATGGCGCTGCTTCCCCAGTCCAGTGCCAAGATACTGGGCGCGTAAGCTGAGGTCAGTCCATGTTCAATGATAAAGGTGAGACTTTCCAACTTTTAGCACAGAACACTTACGCAGTCTGTCGTTCGTGCTCAATCATGTCTAAATGTTGGCAAGATGTTAATAAACGCAGAAACAAAAAAAAGTGCAAGGGGTGCCTTCTGCTGTCATGTGAATAAGAATGCCAGGGGGAAAATGAGGACGAATGAGCAACGTTTTAATACTCCGTAGTCGTTGCATCTCCCGAAGTTTAACCCTGATATTGATTCGTCTCCGCTCCGGATTGATGTACTTGAAAGATACCGGGTACGATAGGTAACCCCATTGAAGCACAGAGACCGCCCTAGACTAACGCGGTGCCTAATGCATGTAGTTCTCATAACATTACATTATTTTGGGGGGAGACGTTGGATGTCAGTCGGCGGAAATCTAGCCCACTAGCAGCTGCTGTCACATAGAAAAACCAGGAATACACCGGTGTGTAATTATATGTACAATGCCCGTTGTCTGAAAATGATTCATGATGTGGATCCATGTAGGCAATAACTACAATGGGGGTGGTGCAGACATTAACCTACCGGATTTTGCAACACAATCATGAACTAAGCAGGGAAAGCTTGCGCTGTCACCGCCCGCCCCCCTTTTCCCTACATATGAAGCCTCAAGGATTGTCTATCGGTGAGCAACGATACAAGATCTGCAATAGGCTGTGCCCATTCTTGGCACAATCACTACTCCGGTGCGGGCGCTAGACAATCAAGCTCGAGAAAGCTATTCGAGTATGAGTGAAAGAGGGACCGTACTAAAGTATATCGCTTCTGACATAGTGTGCATTTAGGTGGATACCTTTGATTTCATGGTATGAATGTAAAGGAATCAGGAACTTTGTCTCAAGCTGGCCGTGTTCCTTCAAATTCAGCAATGGATTGAAAAAGGTCATCCCTTCCGCCCTGCAGCGCATTAGCTTTGCCCCTTCTTATCCGCAGTCACCAGCTCAGAAGAAGTGCACTATGAGCCTTTCAGAAGATTCGACAAGCAGTCTCTCCGAGGAATCGGCAACAGCAATTCGTCTATACATTAAACAGCTTGAAGATGACCTCCACCAGCAGATCACTACTGAGGTTAAACGTGTTCTAGAGTCATATGAGATTTTTAGGAGCCATTGTCAGCAGAGCCTTCTTGCGGGTCTTCCTCCCAAGTACCGGCCGGAAGAGAGACCAGAAGTTGTTGCCAGGATCAAAGCACAATTCCCGTGTCACATCAACAACTTCTTCTACGACAACATCGCTGGAATGTCCTGCTCTGCCTTCCAATACGCGGGGACGAAGCCGACTCCTTTCACGATGCCACGGGACCTCATTTCCATGCGCCGGCCGCCTCATTCGAATCGCACTGTCATTCGGCGGAAAACGGTTGAGGGTCCTCGATTTGTGACCGTGAATGCGGTAGAAAGAGCTTACTTGGACAGTTTTGTCTTCTCCTATACGCTCGATGGTTCAAAGGCACATTGGATTCTGCTTTGTCCAAAGCAGGATTGCCAGAGTCGCAACTTCTCTCGAGATCCGATCGCTAGCGGAGATGCGATAGCACACTTCAAGCAGTGTGAGATCTCGGCTGTCGAAGAAACTACCATTATCAGGAGACATGGGATGCAAGGTGAGCCAATGTCTGTCCTATTTCTCTTCATTATACAGTGAGTGAGTGGCTGACCTGTTTATTTCTCTCAAAGTTGTGCCGCACAGACTCAAAGCTCGAGACCAGCCTATCAGCGCTCGGTGGGTAGCAAAGCACAACAAGAACATAAAAGCAGGCAATCACCGGTTGACAAAATGTTCTCGGAAAGCTGACAACAGGGCGAGTTCAGACTCCATGGAAGACTTGGACACAGACTCTGACTGAGGGTGTCTTTATGGCTGGCTTTAATGGCTTGGACTGTAATGAACTATGGATGAATGCGTGCCTCATGGCACGATTGATCATTAGGAATCAGTCACAGAACCTTAGAATGAAATTGCGTTGCTTTTGTTTTTGATCTCTCCCGCCTTCCGGGCAACTCCAAGTTAAGGTAGTGATGGATACTTGACCAATTTTGAGAATTGGACACCAGATTTTCGGGCTGAGCGTGGCCCATGTAGGCAGGGTACTACCTAGACATCGCGATATGCACAAACATCGATACTTCCCCTTTACAGGTAGTTTCCTTTCTCCTTCTTCTCTTTACTTAAGTACTCTGTAATTTGACGAACTGTATGTGACCCACTTGTTAATACAGCCTTTGCGCCAATGGGGTTCGTTTCCATTCGACAAGGAGCTTAGTGTGAACGTAAATGCCGTGGCTTCCCTGAGGATTGTCGAAGCCGTAACAGGTTCTAGCCATTTCAAACCAGCGGAAGTTTATTGCATCTTACCCGGTGTGCCAGGCTTGCCCCAAAACGGGAAGCCCTATCGCATCCACGCTACCATGCCGAGTTCCAGATCCACATAAAACGTATTGAAACAAAGTAGGGATGAATGAGACTCACCTTTTACACTGCATGCAACTATGTTGACAAAATGATAAGGGGATGAAAGCAGAATGCATGAGGTAGACGGTAGTAGTGACTTCAAACCACTTGCATGTCCCGTTGACATATTATATATCTTGAATTATGCGTACATTGTAGGATAACCTCGAGAGCGCTCCTTACGTCACCAAGCTAAGTTAGATAGCGCCATATATGTATCAAGGGGTTTCTGGTGCGTCCGCTGAAGGATGAACATCGCAAATGCGCTGTTTTATGTCCTTGTCAATTCGATCTTCGGACAAGAAGTCATTGGAGAAGAGATCATGTACGCCCCATTCACTACGCCCATGTGAAATTACGCTTACTTTGAGACTCCGAATGCAGTAAATATTTTAGTCGGCATGCATGGTGCTGAAAACAGGATGCCTGGAGTGATTTCGTGGCGTGTATACGCACATAAGCTCAAGACATGGCATTCTTTTAACTCAGCCTATCTGTCCGCTTCTTTTTGTCGCCCTTAATTTACCCCACACGAAGCTAGAAGCAGAACACTATTATCATCGACATGAACTCTCAAATGTAACATGGCAGATCGTTGCTGTTGGGCCGACGCACTTTACATTCGTTATATACTGAGGTACAGTACCTGGTACACATGCATGTAGGAAGTAGGGTCAGTGATAAGTCGGGACATATCCGGACACATTCTTTGATTTAGATGTGAAACAAAATCGTGAGTCTTCAAACTTATCTTCGGGCCCGCGAATTAACTCGGATTATACGGAGTAATACACGGGCAGTGCACAAATTATGGAGTGAGGCCATCGCTCGCACCTGAATTACTCCTTAGATTGGTCACGCAAGAATCGCCTCTCCGCTAACCCTGGCACAAAATTTTCCTATCACATGCCTAAGTTGAAGTTGCACTAAGGGTTCGTGAACTCCTGAACCCCCAACCCCCCCCTTTCTGTTCTTTTTTCGTCCAATGCGACCATGTAAGTACTCTGCCTCTGAATGGAAAGAGTTCTAGGTTGGGCCTACGTCTAGATCAACATGCAAATCCCCATGCGAGATAGCACGAAATTTGGACAACAAGGAATTTGTCAAGAATAACGTGGCCAGGGAAGGATATTAACATGAGCTTTTTACATGTATACTTGGGATATATGTGCTTTCAATTTACCCAAGATTGCGGTACATCAAGTGCTCAAATAGGATAAGATCGGCCGATTTAATCAGAACTATTGAAAGTTGGGAATTTGAGAGAACCTTGCATATGGCTCATTCTCTCAATTTCTCTATCTCCAGGGGGCAGATCATCGAGACCAGGTAGCATCCGTGCTTCCATTTGTGAGGTAGGTATTGCGTAGAAAGGCTGCATAGCGAGGCGAAAGCTCTTTATTGATAGCTTCGTAGCCACAGAAGTACCAATCGAGAGATTTACGTGTATTAATACCTACTTCTGACAGTCCTATGATTTCATCATAACGCACACTTGTATGAATAGACAGATATAAGCTCCTGGCTTTGATACGAAACGTGGTTCAGGGCTAAGGCTACATTAAAAAAATGCACCCAGTTTTCGTCGATACCTTCTCACTACTCTTTGACGTGCGGACTTTGCTGCTGCCTGAGTACGACCCCAAGTGTTAGCCTATCCTTGTATTTAGCTTGTGGGCATTGGAGCGAGAATCTGTGGCCACAAGGGTCGGCTTACGAACGCACAAATAATTTCCGCATCATCCCTAAAGGCAGTACCATATAGCTTCAACGTTGAGCAGCTTGACCGGCATATGAATGGGTCAGCCGAAAAAGCAAATTTACAGCCAGATGCGGAATTCGGACAAATAAGAATGCAGCACCGCCTGCCAATACCCAAGCCATGAGCGAAGCCCCAGTTCGGCTTGCTTTCCAAAGCTTTTGTCGCGACAGATATCTTTATGACCAGGTTGGTGAAATTAAAACGCACTGTGGACACGGCCTGGGAGAAGAAAAGGGGGGGGGGGGGGGGGGGAGGGAGGCACATTCTTACTTTAGCTTCAGCACAGGTGAGCTGGTGCAAAGGAAGCAGACAACACATGGATGTTTTGAGAACTTGGAGCTTTTGAAGTTCATTACTTGATGACAAATGCTCGTCTGCGAGGGCGGTCTTTTCTGAAAGAGTCTCGATTGTATGTGTATTGTTGAGATTGCCGTAAATCGCGCGGTGCCAAAAGTCAGAAAAGGTCACCTATTGCGAAACAGCCGTATTGATTCAGCTGAACCAGTCGGCTTCCTCTTCCCGCGGCACAGCTGGTCACTCGTGAGTGATCTACCATTGGTCTGCCCCTGATGATAGTAAGTGGCCTGAACGTAATAGCCAAGTTCGCTTTTGAGGTCACGTCGGACTTTCTCGAGGTCTCCGGGACATGTCAGCGAGGCCTTCGTCAAGAAACAAACAAGCGTTCATTCTTGGCAAAGATCCCATTGATGGGTACTACCCATGGCCAATATTTACCAAGCTTAACTAGCTGCTGAGACTCATGAGGGATTAAGTATTGATGACATTTGGCACATGCACTTCCTGTACCCTGGTGTATGATCCATGCCCGGTGATATACCAGAGGCCTTGTCTTGGATGTGGGGGCTCTTCCAGCACTTAATGCTCTGGATCATTCAACCCCGAGGGTCCACGTATCCAAGCATTCATCTGCGTGGCAGGAAAGCTCAAGATTCTGTGGATCCCGCCAACAGATTCTTCGAGAGGTTTTTTGGCGACATGAAAGCTTGGTCCCTTACTAGTTTGAGTCTGGGCAATATGTGTATAGGTTGGTTGCGGTCAACGGATTAGAGACAAGAAATATACCTGGGATCCAAAGTGCTTACTATTTAACCCCAATACCCCTTATGCTGACTCGAGTCGCTCTGTATTTTTTCACGGGAGCCACTCAGCTTATAATTTTGTTTACCTTCTGCTTCGGGATAAGACTTCATACTGTTATGTGCTCGAGGCCAATTCTCAAGAGTCATGCGATGTCCGGCGCTCTGATGCGCCGCTGTACAGACATGTAAGCTAACACTTTCGCTGTCGGTCAACTCAGAAAACTAGATTGGTTAATAACCGTAGTGTTGTTGGCTTGGACTGGGGGAGTACCTCTGTTCGCTTGGTCATTTGCTTCTTGCCCTCGGACGGTGAGGCGATTGTTCCAAAGCCGGAAGAGTTGTTTAACCAAAGGAGTTTGCAAACCCAAGATGGTACTCGATATGAAAAGGGCGCTTTCAACGGGTACATCAATATTTCAGGGACTGGAGAAGTCTATACTGGCGATGAACTAAGCCCTTCAGCCACACAGGTTTCGGCAAAATTCTTTCTAGGTGATGGTTTTCTCGACACAGGCCGGAACACAATCAACAACGAGAATTCCCTGCGGGTGGAAGCACTGAGAATCAAGGAAAAACACTCTGATTTCGAAACCATCGGAAAGAAAGGTTTGGGGTTAATCCTCGACGCTGTCTTCCTTCGCTTAGATGAAGAATGCCGCAAGATGGAAAGACCTCTTAGGATTGTAGATTTTGGCCTCTCAGCTCCTGCTCACTGGAGTGTCACAGAATACGAAAAGTACAAGGCTCTGATTAGGGAAAAGTTAGAAAGCAGCCCAAGACTGCTTACTAGTCGATCGTTCGATCTCGATCAGATCTACGACCATCTCCATTTACATACAGAAGCGGAGGCAATGGCCCATTTCATTTCTTCCAGCGAACACATCGCAGACAGGAGACTTGGTACGGACGCCAGCCAATATGTGCTTTTTCTCGACTTCGGAGGCCACAGCATGGTACGTTCTCTTCATTCTGTTCCAGCACATTTAACCGCATATTCTGACGCGCAAAGAATGGCTGCCTTTACTACGTAAGACGAGCCGGAGGCAAAACGGCCCTTTTCAGAGTCGGTGATCCCATCGGTAAGCCTAGCGAGCGAACTGAGAGTGCTTTAAGGATGAAATAATTGGTGATCTGTGTGCTAACTTCTCTGTTTACAATAGCAACAGTTGGCGGCGGAGGCATGTGGGAGGCATCCGTTGGTGACTTTTGCACCAACCACACCACATCGGACAACGGTAAAGTCAGCAGCCAAGAATTCTCGTATTTGCTTCGTAATGAGTTCCTCAGAGAATTCCGTACGCGCCTCATAGCTCTTGGGAACAACAATCCGTTCAAGGAAGAGTCGCCGAATGAATTCAAGTCGCAGTTCGAGGACATTGATCTTACTATCGCGAAGCCGGCGAAGTATTCTTCAATTTCCAAGCGCTTCCACGTCAATATTCCGATCCATGATCTGACCAAAATGTTCAAGAAAGCCTTTCTTCAACCATTGCTTGAAGCCGAACGCGGCATCAGGAATCTTGAAGCTGAACTTGCATCATCGCAAAAAGACATCCGTGGCCGGATTGTAGTATCTGGAGGCGGCGCCAAGAATCAAAGAGTCAAGTACTATTTGTTCAAGTTCGTCGAAACGGTTTTCCAAAACACAGTATCTCCGCCTATAGTCTATTTGGATCAGAACCCGGAAACCCCAAATGAGTAAGCATGCTTCCATCTCGATATCTATCTTGACAAGAACAATATTGAGAGGAGGCCGGCTGCACTAATACTTAGACGCAAACAGATCATTTAACACTGCCAAAGGAGCGGGGCTCGCGACGGCTAAAGCACACCAGACAATCCAAAATTACATCAAGAATGGCGCTGCTTTTGGAATACAAGTGCAAAGAGGCCGAGGTGGTGGCGGGGATGAAGAATGGGACGATTTTGCTGCTATGATCCTGGCAAATAACGTGAGTCAGGCAAATGTCCAAGAGCATAGACAACTTTGCCGCGTGTTGTTTTATTGACATCAGGCTCTCAGAGAAGAGGAATGAAGGAATCGCGGTACCACACATTCCAAACTGACGGCACCAACAGGTTCAGGATAGTCTGCGATCCCTTCGGCCTGCACCAGTCAATGTCCCAGACTGATACACAATCTCTACGCTATCTCGACTGTGGCGCGCATACCTATGACTTTCTGGACCTTTTCATGCCAAGTCAAGGGCAATGGCAGTTCCGGCTTTCTGTCCCGGAGAATCAGAGTTCTGAGCATGAGCATCTAGTCCTTGAGAGACTTATGGTTGACAGAGGCCGTGAGTTGTGGACGACATACGACAAGATCAAGCTCAATGTATTTTTCAGCCGATCGACATCGACATTTTTAGTAAGACCTGATCGGAAACTCGATAACTTGCACCTTGGTCTAGGCTTGACCCCAGACGGAATTTTTGTTGCTTGTACGGCGGAAACTGAGAAAACTTGGTTCGACGAGGTCCAGCGTCGGACGAATGCCATATGGGCGGAGAAAACTAGGGAACCGCCCAATTACGAGACAACAGGTGCCAAACTTGTTGAGTTCAGCTCGGACAGTGAGGCTTAGGGTTTTGAGAGGTATGAAAAGTAAGCGGAACGTGACGTACTTCTTCTAGATTGTAGAATACAAAATTACGTGTTTCATTGTACCAAGCAAGAGCGTAGGGTCCAAATTCATTGTTTAACAGCATAAGGTAATATGCAATAATGTAGTTTCGTAACAGACTACTTTGAGACACAGGCTGTACATACATACAGTCATTGAAAGCACGTGCAAATGAAGAAGTGAAACGATAGTATCTAATGCAAGGATGGTATCATTGACTCCATAAAGACAAAGAATCTACAAAAAGGCGCTCTAGAGACACTTGTAACTCAATCTTTGAACGTAGAGTTCATACCTCCTGATCCAATTTCTATAGCTGTAATAGCAAATCAAAGCACTACATAGCACCTAGAGCGTGTACATGAAGTCAGGTCGCTTGTCTCCAGCGACCCACCTCTGCTCATCAGTCATGCCAGCCCACTGGGCATCCATCTTGCCGGCTCTGCGGCGACTGTTGGATACTCTAAGCGCGAAGTGCATGAAGATGGACCCACCAAGGAGGAAAAGAATCTGGTAGCCCAAGACAACACCGTGGCCAGTGAGGTAACGAGGGGACTCGGCCTTGATGTAAATGTTGGAGGAGACAACACCGTTGAGGTTACCCCATCCAACGACCATGCCCAGGACGAAAGCGCGCTTGAGAGAACCCTCGGTATTGTTGATGACCCAGGAGAGGGTGTTTGAGATGGTCGGGTAGATACCAGCGGCGCCGAGGAAGGTTCCGGCGTACTGGACCTTGGGGTTGGTCGTGGAGATGAGCATGACGAATCCGACAATACCAATAGTGACAGTCGTGACGTTGCAGTATCCACGCCAGCGGGTCTTATCGGCAATGATACCAACAGTGACGGTGAGAGCGGCAGCAACGGCGTAAGGCGGAACGGAAAGCAGCTGGGCCTTGGTGCCTTGGTGACCCATGCCACGGAGAATAGTAGGCAGGAAGAGGGAGAAGGCATAGAGGGGCACGAGACAGCCCATGTAGATGACCATGTAGCCGTACGTCTTCCAATCCGTCATGGCAGCGTAGATGTGGCGCTTGTCAAAGTCCTCGGCGGTGCGGCCCTGCTTGTCGGCGATGAGGCGGCGCTGGACGCGGATACGCTCGTCGGGAGTCAGGAATCGGGCGCCCTCGGGCCAGTCGAACACCATCCACCAGCAGAAAATTCCGACAAAGACGGTGGCCAGGCCCTCAATGATGAAGATCCAGGCCCAGCCGGGCTTGCCGCCGATGCCGTCCATCTTGGCGATGGCTGCGGCGAGGAGACCGCCAAAGGAACCGGCCAGAGCGGCGGCGGAGAAGAAGACGGCAGAGCGAACACCGATTTCGGATCCCTTGTACCAACAGGAGAGGTAGTAGTTGACACCTAGTGTCTCATATTAGCCTCTGAAATCTCACAACCATAGGTTCCTGTGAGATCATGATGAAATAGCGAGCTTACCAGGGAAGAGACCAGCCTCAGCGATACCGAGGAACCAGCGGGCCGCAAGGAGACCGGAAAAGTTGGTGCACAGACCCATGAGCGTCATGATCATGCCCCAGACGATGATGATTCCAGTGAAGAAGATGCGGGGTGTGAGGCGCTTGAGCAGTGCATTGGTGGCGGGCTCGAAGACGGCGTAGCTAATGAAGAAGATGGTGAGCGACATGTTGTAGTCGGTGCCGCTCATCTTGAGGTCATCCTCCATGCCGGCGAGACGCGCATTGCCAATATTGGTTCGGTCGAGAAAGGAGAGGAGGTACTACGAAGAAATATGAAATTAGTATATCGTCAATCGTATTATGCGCGCGCAGCAGCTCATGCGCTGAGATTCTAGGAGAAGTGAGTTAGAGGGAAGATCATGTCTTACAAGGAGGGATAGCCAGGGGACTAGCCAAAGGTCGACCTTCCACATGAGCTTCTTGTCCTAGAAAGGAAAAGATGAGTTAGCATGAGTGGACATATTTCTTCTGTCGTCTTAATGAAGCGTGGAGGAGTGAGTGAGGGCTTCACGACCTCATCACTCATAAGCCGGGTGAGGGAGCACACGTACAATGGCGGCACGCTCCTCTGCAGACTTTCCGGCGTCGGGATCGGGCAGATCAGCAAGCATCTGCGCCTGCTCGAGCTGAGAGTCGATGGGCTTCTCATCCGAGCTCTCGGCGAGCTCGTGATCTTTCTTCCCGTGGCGATCCATGGCTACGGTATTGGGACGACGGTTGTGGGTAGTGGGAAAGGTGTTCGATGTGCGAATGAGATTTGCGTATGCGCGCGAGCGCGTTGGAACCAGGTGTGTCGCTTTTCCGAGGTTTGTGTGTGGGATCCCGCAGAAAAGTTTGCTTCCCTCTTGCCTTTCGATGGTAGAAAAAAAGAAAACTCTCAGTCAAGAGAGGTAGGATCCGTCGGAAAGGCAGGCGCACGAAATCTGGTACGTGGCTCGCTTAAATGGTCGGGTCACTCAGGTGTATTCACCAGTAACCGAAGCTCAGGATGAGAGCGGATGAGGGGAGAGGTTGAGCAAGACTCGAGATGTGGTGGAACGCGGCAAATGGGAGGCGTTGAAAGGAGACGGAGAGGTAAAGTGGGAGAGAGAAACACACAGAGAGAGAAGATGTGTCCCAAAACAACCTGGATGAGCTTGAGGGGTAGATCCGAAGCCAACGTGGGTTGAAACCTTGAGCGCTGCTTCTTATAAATTCGACGACAACATGGGATGTAGGCGGCCGTTTCCTCTCCCTCTCTTATTCAACGACAGTCCTGCCATGCTCGGGACCCTCCGTGGCCGCCGAGTGCTACCCCCGATCCACTCACACTCACACTCACACTCTACGCAGTATACATCGCATACCCCAATGGGAAGGACGAAATTGGCTTCCCATCTGAATGATTTCGTTGGATGGCCCGCCCCTCTCTTCCGAAGTACTGTGTAAAAAGCCTTCACCGTGCGGGCTTCCGACGGGAGGGCAACGGGAGTACTTCAAATTCGGTACCGGAAACCCTGTCTGCTAGTTATAGCTTCGCCGCCGCGCCGCCTACGACATGGACTAAGGCTAGATTGAGGTCTGGGAGCCTGGGAGTAGGGGGAATGTAGACTCAGGGAGTGCCTCATCCGTAACTGCGGGCAGGGTTTGCAGGGCTTATTGCCTTGGGCTTCGGTACGTACTACGTAGCCACGCAGTATGCAGGTTGCTGGTCGTGGTCTTCCGCGCAGCTGGCTTGCATTTCGAGACGAAGAGAATGGCAGGGGGCTTTGAGTTAGGGATGTGAGTGGCTGGCTCTAGCTCAGAGAGCTCAGGTTGAGCACTTTGCTTGCTGCTGGTATCTCCGACGTCTCGACACTACGAGTCGCATTTACACTAGGGAAAGGTATCCAACTTCCTCGTCCGTACGACCGATGCCTTGCCCCCGCCAATGCATGCCCAGAGCTCTTGGCACTTCTCATGAGCCAACCCCGGAGCGGTTTGCTGTTAGCGATTGGCCCGCAGACTTGCGAGTCTGGGGCTAGTCTGGAAGGCAGGCTGTGGGCAGGATTGATGATGGGGGTCTCGCAATGGGAGGAAGACGGAGGAGAAAGGCGGAGAAGAGCAAGAATAAGCCAGACAGGTGAATGGCCCGTAGCCAATACGACGATGGGAGGTGGTAGAGAAAGAGGCAACTGGAGTCGACGATGTCCAGGCCGTTTGAGCAACATCAATGACTCGTCGAGCGCAGCCGCCTGCGCTTATGCTGGCACCAGACGCAAACACGACGGACAGTGTGCCCTAAGGATATTGCAAATTGGCCTATTGGAATGAGACCATTGCTCCTCGCTGGCAGCATATTACCTGCACGTCCCAGTATGTGACCCGAGGGATTTGTTTGTGCTACACTACTCACGGAGAGGATGTTCCCTGCAGGCTAAGGAGTGCTGGACGGCTCACGAACACCAAACGGAAACGCTAGATTGACGAGAAGGTCGAGCTGGATGCATAGAATGTTCGATTCTTCCCGTTAGCTTCCTTGTATCCGAAGTATGCGAGCCCTTCAGGACGGGTGCTGCACTAAGTTCGAGCCGTCCTCCCCCAAGTTTCTTACAAGCTTCTTCTTGTCCTGATGGCCATCGCGGCGCGGGGGAGGATACGGGGAAAGGGATGGGGAACCTGTTGGAGGTCATGGTGGGCAACATGAAGACAGGGGTGAGAACATGAACAATTTTCGATGGACTTTTCCGTAGATATCATCTCTCTCCTCAGTGCCGCCATTATCCTTTTGTCATCATCGCGACCCCGTCTTCCCCTCACAAGTCTCTCCACTCAACCACCGACATTCGTGGAGGCCCCCGGACGAAATAAGCATAAGAAACAGAAAAAGTTCGGACATTGAGCGAGATAGTTGGCCAGAGACAGGGAACCAGCCTTCTCACGAACACCCCATGCCGCGCCCCTCTTTCTCTCTTCATCCCCCGCAATCCTGTTTCTAGGCAATTTTCCCCGCACGGAGAGGGAGTCGTGGAGTTTGACGAGAGCGCTCCGATTACTTTACGACTCCATTTCAGTCGAGGTCTTGGAAAGTCTTGGGAGGGGCCCGGCAGTGGAGGCGAGCTAATCAAGCTACGGCTCTTTGCCAAACTAGGGGAATTCTTGCCGACATCTGTGATCCTTCAGGCTCTTGGGGAAGACCTGTTTCCTGGTCTGCCAAGATCGTGCTAGAGAAGAGGCCAATGGGGCATCGCGTGCTTTTGACTTCTGTCGCGCTGTCATGTGCGATCAAGTCTCGTTCCATTGGGGTGGATAGTGCCCAGCCCAGCCTGTATGTATTCATTTTCATCAGCGACATGGATGTTGGCGGGCCAGCGGGCTTCTTCCCGCCATTCTCATTCTCCAGTGAAGCCGAGACCGGGCAGCACACCGTGGACGTTGGTTGGAGCTTGGCGGGCGCCCAAGCTAGCTAGACGGTCTTGTGAGCAGTGAGCTTGTCGATGAGAGTCGAGCAACACGAGCTCCCCATACCGACGGAAACCAATGGAAGGGGGCGATTTTCGCTAGATAGGCCACCTTCATGAATTGTGCAAGCCACAAGTCTCTTCTCTTACCGAAAGCTCGTAGCAAAGGAGGAGACCGGCGTGATCTTGGCGACTGATGCGCCCGTTTCCCCGCCCATGTCCTGGGAACAGGCGCCGTCCAGGGCACTGCGCGAAAGACGGCTGGGAAAGCGGTCGAAGAGATAAGCTTTGCCGCCATTGAGACCGATTTTGACACGAACTGTGGCTCTCGAACTGGCGGCGCCGCCAGCCTGGGGCAACTTGGGGTTAGCTGGCACTGGGCAGCCTAATAGTGGCTCTCAGATGGAACAACGCGCGCTTTTTCGTTGGTCTTCTTACTTGGCGGGGAAGAAAGAATCTAGATCGCAATGTGTCAGGGTTCCTCTTCCCCGGATTTCCTGGTCAACATCAGCCCATCCCGGACTGAAATCACAGCACCACCGAGCACCCGCAAGTTATTCCGGGAGAGCCTTAGATTGGTGGTCAGCAATGTGCAAGTTCTAGGAAAGGCTTCGATGAAATACGCGATGTTGGATGGACCACAAAGGCTTCCGCAAGCCAAGCCAGAGAACAGGTCCCATTGTCGACGTCCTCAGTGCTCTTGGCAACAGGCAGTCCGGTCCCAACAACATTCGCTCAGCGTGGGCGTTATCCGATAGCACATGTCTCAACCGCATAAGCCATCTGCGAGACCACGCGACGAACGCCCATCCGAGTACGGAATGGCCCAATCGTAGTCCGAAACCATTCTCGACGAGGCGAAACCCTATTTGAACGGCCGCTTTTGAGAGGTGAGCTAGAAGGTTCGTCGTCCGTTGACCGGGTATGATGTGGCAACACTGCCTCAACTCGAGAGAATCACTACAAACAGCAGTGCCGTCTAGACAGGACAATGCCGTGGTTTCACAACGTCCCGGTCTGGTTCCGCGATCCCTTGCACTTGGTTCTCGAACAAGATCGTCTCCAGCGCCGTTCCCGCCTTAGTGTCTTGCGACCTGGCGGGCAACCTCTACAAACGACTCCCAATATCGCGGTCGAATGGAAGTGGAGAGGCTGTGACAACTTGCGCTCATAACGTTCAATTGGCATCTGAAAAAAAGAGGGTCACAAGGTAGTCAGACTTGGACCGTCCCATGTCTCGGTCGCAACCGGCGTAGATTGCTATTTGCTAAACAGCTACTGCCGAGGGACATCCGCGATTCGATATCGTTAATGCGGATACGGAAAAGTAAGGGTGAGAGTAAGATGAGTGGTAAAGGGTGAGATTGAGAGCAAGAGTGAGAGTGAGATTGAGAGTGAATCTGTGAGCACTATTTAACTCTATCGTTTTATATTACTAGAGGATTGCCGCAGTATATATAGACGCTACCCTACCCTCGAATTCCGCACTATTTAACCTTAACCCTTTTTATAAATTACCTATCCTTTTTTTTATTCTACCCTCTCCTTCGTTAAGGGATCGCTAGAATCGTAGTTTTAATAACTTATTAATAAGCTAATATTATTATCTAGAGGTAGGTAACCTATTCTTATACGTAAGTACTAGGAGTTTTATTATTATAGAGATAGTAGTAAATATATTAGAGTACTTAAGAGAGCTTTTTAATAGATTTTTAATATTATTTAAAGCGATTATCCTCGAGCTATAAGAAGAAGCCGAGGTACTATATTAATACGGCCCTATCTATTTTATTAGTACTAATAATACCCTTTTTAGTATAAAATATATTAGTAATACTCTACGGCCGCGTTACTATATTTCGTAAATCGTACTTAACGTTAGCGAAGATTTTAGTGTTATTTACTAAGTATTTTATTAAAGTCGTTATCGTAGGGTTAGTTTAGTTATTAGTATTTTAGTAAGTATTTTAACTTAACTCGGAGGCTCTTATAGCTCTTAATTAGAGGCTTTTAAAGGATTTATAATTAGATTTTTTATTTATTACGGGCGAAGTTATTATAATTAAAGCTATAGCGCTACTTACGGACCTCGATAGTAAGTAGTTAGTAATATAGTTATTTTTTTCTTATAGCGAGCTTAAAAAAGTATTTTAATTTAAGTACTAGGTAGGTACTATACTATTTTATTAAAACTATATTCTTATACTTATAACTTAGAAAGAATTAACTTTCTTCGATAATAAGGTACTCAGTGAATCTGTGAGACTCAGTGAGTGTGAAGCCTGGCGGCATTGGCTAATTGTTGGTCGAACCATCTTGCGCTTCTCACCTACTTCGTGTGAGAATGTGTATATTCTCCTCCTGTCTCTCTACCTACATCTACCTCGATTTCATCCCATGCAACCTCGTCTGTTCGAGTAGGTGACACAGACCGAGCGGCGGTGCGGTTTCATTTCCATGGCCTCGGAGCGACATGTCCTGTCCTGCATACAGTATGCGGCGAAAAGCAAATAACTCTTTTTTCTTTTCTCCTTCTCCTTACAGTCGTCCCAACGTTTTCTCCATGATCTTACTCCCGCCACTGCCGCCGTGAAAATGAAGAAAAAGGAGAAGTCGGACACAGTACGAGATCTTCGGACGAGTTTCGTCCCAGTTGGTTGGTGTAAGATTTCTCTGCAAAGCCCCATCTCGGGCGTTATTCCCACATGAGCAATCTTGTGCGAGACGGCTTGCGGCCGAAAACGTGTTGTTTGCTTCCTTCCTGCATATGCTGCTGCAACACCACGGAGCCGTGTATGGTCAATATTCCGCCTGTTTACATGTGCTCTTATTCGACCGGCAACGATGATCCCGAAAATGCCTCGAGGAGGGTACCAAGGGGATGGGAAGACCGGAAGAAGCATCTCTTCGATAAGAATTTGCCTACCAAGAACGCAAGCTGTGAAAGATGCAACCTTGTTTCAGGGTCGTAGAGAAGGATGAGGTCGCCCTGAATATCAAATTGTTTGCTAGAGGCACCCGACGCGCGGCATGCCCAGAGACGCTGCAGGAGGTTGAGGACTTCGTGTGAGTGAATCACCCATTGTACTTGTTACTCTGGGATCCCTCATGCTTCATCCCAAGAGATCATGTGCGTCAAATAAAACGTGGGAAGAGAGGCGATGCAGGTGTCCACGCGCATAGATCTATTGCTGCGCCTAATATGCTTCCACCCGTGCTTCCCTGCCTATGGCAAGCAAACAGTAAGTATGGATTGGGCCCAATAATGATTTGCTACATATTCCTCATGAACCTTTCCATCTGCACAGTAGACGATTCCTTGATAGAATTGCTACCCCTGCTGTCCTTCCCAGCGGGCCAAGCGGCGCAGCTCGCACAGCAGACCCGTTAGACCTCACCGCCACGGGCCCATTCATCTCGACTGTCCAGAGGTATTCTTCGTCGCCCTGAAAATCTCCTTTCCAAAGATCCAATCGCCAAATGCAGCAAACCAAACACCACAAACGCCAGCTCAATTCCAAAATCCCCGGCCGTCTCGACGTTCGGCCCGATCCACCACATTTGCGCCATGCAGGGAACGAGGACGCCGAGGCAAGAGAAGCACGACCAAACGCAGCCACGCTTCGCGGCAGCTTCGCGGCGTTGTCCCAGGAGTCTGGATCCTACCTCGCGCAGTTGACGCCACAGAACCAGAGGTCGTGGACGAGCACCACAGTTCACGGTCCACGGTTCACATTGAGGTATGCCACAGACCAATACCTAATGAGAGGGACGAAGGTCTCCAGACTCTCAATGAAATCTGCGGTGTCACGAATTTCAACGAGACTTGCCACCGATGTCATCATCGGCGCATACGCGTCGTAAGAGATATTTGCGGACCTTCGGGAAAAGTATGAGAGGAGGAGCTGAAAGTTGATGGTTATGGTGTTCCCCTTTGCTGCGATGTTGCCGAAGAGCGTGGACGAGAGGACTATGCTTTCGAACTTACTGAGACCTCCTGCTGGACCGACCATAGCTGATATCACCCTGTGGACTGTTTCGTTCTCGTAGACAGTTTCGAATCGAGGCGCGCTGGGTACTGTTCCTTAAATAGCTGCGCTGAGGATTATGAGGAGGATCGCATGAACAGGGTGATCTGCATAGGTGTACTAGGAGATACTCAGCCGTCGCTTGTTCCTTAGTAGGCTGGTTAGGTCGTCGTCAGAAGCGCAAAGAACGTGATAGCTAAAGCCGAGTCCCTCACAGCAAGCCCGGACGTTGCGCCTCGCATCTCGAAGGTGAAATTACCTCCTATGTCACCGATAAACTCTTCGCGTCGCTAGAAAGACGAGTTGAGGATAACGCCCTGTTAGATAGGCACTCACAGGAGCATGTTCGCGTTCATCACCACCACGAGGTCAAGACATTGACTGTCTTCTTAATGACAAGCTAGTCCACGAGAATCAGGCCGGCGCCTCGCACTTAAATGTTCCGGCCGAATGTGATTCGACGATAAGGGATGCCTTTGCAGCTCTTTCACTCTCCTCTCTGCGCATCTAGGATAGAAACTTCGCTCTCCGTACCGCGCTTCGTTGTGGCGAGAGGATGACTCTGGAGAAATCATTCCATTGAGCCCATTCTGCTATGAAAGCTCGATCATACTTGTGATGGTCGTGAATTAGAGGTTGTGCAAGACGGTCGTCACTTTTTGACGAGGTCAAAGGCGACAGGTCTTTTGGTCATCCTTGAAGGCCAAGTCTATCATTGCACAAAGGTGGTGTTGAACCCGATCACGCAGGGGCTTGATAATGACAGCCATATGATTGACTTGGACAAACTACATGTAGAGGTGAAGGTTTTCTTCGCCAAAGTGTTCCAAGTGGGAGCCGGGCGCTAAGAAGCCATCAGCCTCGGCCCTTAGAAGCCGCACCTCGCATCTCTGGACAAGATGAAAAACACGCAAAAGATATTGTCAAATATCTCAAGGTCCTAGCCTCCGATATATCGGACCTCCTAGCGGCCACGAGCCCATGGTAGCCTATCACTAACCTTGAAACTTGGCACCCCGGATATGCGCCGGAAACATCACCGCAAGCCGGCCCTGAAGTCCCCACGAGCCGAACCCACACAGATCCACCGTTCAAGAGCCTCTCTGCCAATGTGCCAGTCCGCTTACCTAGCAGGCCTAGCAATAGATTACATCAATGACTGCCCAGGCTAACTAATGCGAACCGTCCATAGCCTAAGAAACGGGGACTGGCCCCTCTGACTTCTCGGATGACCGTGCCGCGGCAGACCCGCCGCTGTTCGCCTTTTCCGAAACCGGCGCCGAAATATTTTGGCCGATTTCTGGGTCTGCGTGGGGTCCAAAATGTCATCGGTCAAGATTTTTCGTAGGCCGAGGTGGTATGAGTATTTCGCCAGCAGGGGGACCGCAAGGGGCATTTCTTCCTTTTATTCTCAATCTTTCCCTCCGCCAAGAGAACCACATGTCCATTGAGCCGTCCGGACGGTTCAATCACGGCCTCCACTTCCCCGATCTGCGGCCTCCGACTTGCGCCCCACGATGGGTGAACCTAAAACTGATGGCCCCGGTGCCGAGACCGGCGTTGCGGCTGCTTCGAACCCCCAACCCGGACAGGAGAACCTCGTGCTTCCGCTGGAAGGGAATGCACCAACGGAGCCCTATAGCATCTTTTCTCGCACAGAGAAGTGGTTCATTGTCGCAATGGTCGCCGTCGCGGGATTCTATAGGTAAGTATGGTTTTTCCGTGCCTCACACTGCCTACCCTGACATTCGGCGTAGCCCGCTGCCGGCAAACATTTACCTACCTGCTATCCCGAAGCTATCAGAAGCATTCGGCAAGTCTGTCGAGCTTCTGAACTTGACAGTGACAGCCTTTCTGGCGACTCAGGGCGTGTGTAAGTAAAAGACGACCTGCAAAAAATTGCCCCATGATATCCACCCTACCAGCTATTCAGTGAATGAATACGACCTAACACTTATACCTGAATAGCTCCGATGCTATGGGGACCCCTCTCCGACCGCTACGGGAGGAGGCCAGTTTTCCTAGTCTGCTTGACCATTTTGATCGGAGCGTGTATAGGAATAGCCGTAATTCCTACAGACGCTTTCTGGCTCTTGATCATCCTCCGATGCTTGCAGGCTGCAGGTTGCGCTAGCACAATCGCTCTTGGTAACACCTACTTTTCTTCATATCACCCTATGTGCGACGCTAATCAATTGATTATCAGGTGCGGGTGTCATCGGCACTTCGACTCCCGAGGAGAGGGGAGGATTCTTCGGCACGTTCAATCTGGGCCCTATGGTACGTTTGGCCAACTATTGGAGCTTTGCGAAAGGTACCTTACTCTATCATGGTACTAACACTATCAGCTTTCACCCTGTATTGCTCCGGCGATTGGTGGTGCACTTTCTGATAAACTTGGCTGGCGCTCCATTTTCTGGTTCCAGGTCATCATGGCTGTTTGCTGCCTTCTCTTCATCCTTTTGTAAGTCACGCCTTGTTAATGAAACAAACCCTCGCCCTTCTTTTCTTCATCGGAACCGTGCGCTGACGGCTACCCATCTCTATAGGTTCCTCCCGGAGACTCTTCGCAACCTCGTCGGCAACGGAAGTGTCTCTCTTGGTGGAGTATACACCCCTCTTCTACCCGTAGTAGGTAGATCTCGAAGGAAGAATAAGATCCAGGGCAACAAGCCCGGCGTCAAACGATCAATCAACCCTTTTGTCATCCTCGTATATCCTGACGTCGCTATAACCCTCACATTCACGGGCGTCGTTTACGCAGTCAACAACACCGTTGTCACGACGGTTGCCTCTTCTTTTGCTAAAGTCTATCCTTGGTTGTCCGAAACCGCCCTCGGTCTGTGCTACCTGCCCACGGGATTCGGCATGATCGTTGGCAGCACTCTCACCGGCAAGTTCCTCGATTGGGATTATGCTCGTATTAAGAAAAAGGTTGAGGAATCCGATGGCGCTATCTTGTTCCCTAAGGAGTATGCACGTTTAAGGACCATGCCCGTGTTACTGGTTCTTTTCTCCGGAGCTGTCATAGCATGGGGCTTTTGCGTCGACCGAGGGGTTCATATCGCTGTTCCTCTCGTCCTTCAGATTGTCTGTAAGTCAACCTCATGAGCTGCATGTCCTTGATAAAGTCGCGATCCCACAGCTGACGCTTCTAGTGGGGTATACATCGATTGCTATTCTCAACACAACCATGACTCTGATGATCGATATTCTACAAACTAGGAGCTCGGCTGCGACAGCATGTGTAAGTAACTTGCTCTGAAGAACTATGCCAGAACTTGGAAATGCTAATGTTGTCACAGACCAACCTCGTACGCTGCTTACTGGCAGCCCTCTTGGTGGGTCTCATCGACAGGATGACGGCTGCCTTGCGCATCAGTTGGAGTTACGTTCTACTGGGCGGCGTTTGTGCTCTACTCCTACCCCTCATGTATATAGAAATGAAGGTCGGGCCAAAGTGGAGAATGAGGCGAGACTTGAAGTCCGTGGATGACTAGAGACAGTGTTTGGCTTTGATATCCATGCCTCATTTACGTACCTCGATACGGCACAAAAGGCCATCAATACTTCTACCAACAGTTATGCTAGTGCCCAACCAAAAATCGCATTTGATATCGCATCCTCCACATATAGACACTACAACAGCCTACTTAGAATTCAGATCCAGAAGATTGCCGTTTTAAATTTCCTCGCTACCATCCATTATCGAAGGCTTCGCGAGTGACCTGCAAGACAAACCGTCGTATTTGTTCTCAATACCAAGAGTAAAATAATAAGCATAAATTTCCATAGGCTAGGCAAGTGGCAATGCTGCATATCATGCCAGTGATTGCTCTCACACGTGCGCCCCTATAGAAGCCACCAATTACCACAGCTTATACCCATGTTGCCAGGCGCCACCCCTATACAGCCCCAGTTACAGCTAAAATAGCAAATATTTCAGGCCTTTTAAGGATGCTTAATGTACTTGCCAGTCTGAATGTGCCGTAACACAACGCGGACGGGCCCTGGGTTGCGCTTTGTACCTGTTCCTCTATGTGTGAAAACAGCCTCTACAACTTGAAGAATAAGCCTTATTGCTTGTATCAGTTTCCAATATCAGTGAATTTCAAGCCTGCAACTGGAACATAGAATAAACTGTTCGTTTATATTCGCTTTTACCGCTTTTACTACTGCGGCATCCCTTGTACTTTGACCTCAATACAATTTAACCCTCAGTACTTCACTTGCCGCAACACCCTCAATTCCTTTCCTTTTGGGAGGCACACTCCAAAAAGCCTAAGTACGTAGAAGATTATGGGCTGAAGCAGGATTAAGTAAGAATAAAACGATTGTATTAGCTAGCAAACTTTCTTTCCCTCCTCTCAGTCCAATCCGCGGATTAAGCGCCGTTCAGAAAAGATGCCGTAGGGAAAACGCTGAATATCGCAGTTGTTCAAAGGCTGTCACTTAACCCGAAATATTAAAAGGCAAGATTAACATCGTCACTGTCATCCTCTGAAGGGGCTAGCGAATACTCGGTTCCCAATTCGAGTGACGACGGGGTGTGCTCGCCTCGTTCTCGTAATGAGCTACTTCTTGTCTCCATCGATCTTGTTGGAGGCGTCCCTGGATGACTGATAGGCTCGTAATCGGAATCAGAACTGCTATCATGGGTGTTACCAATAACTGAAATCTGTGCACCTGAGATTCTTTCGTTTTGCCCCTGTGATGAATCGCAGCTTGCCGCTGAAGGTGGTCGAAAAGCACGGAGATGACCAGTGGGCTTCCATCCGGGTTGTCGCCTCTTCGTCCGTGGCGACGTTTCCGATACCTGTATTTGGCGTTTGCGAGGCGGACGATGGTTCTGTGTGATTCTCTTCAGGCCTCTCAGCTGTTCCTTCACGGAGTCCACAGTGCAGGATGTAAGCGTTCCCTCTTCACTGAGTCGAAGACCACGACCTTCATCATCCACATCCGTGTCGAGCAAGAAACAATTTGAAGAATTTTCAAAATACATGGGACAGGAGAAAGGAGCCTCAGATCTCATGACTGTACGTGCTTTTTTGCTGGTCCCCAAATAGTCTCTTTGCAGCGAAAGGATCATGGCATCACCGTCGTAGGCAATTGAATGAGTGAAACGCCAGTAGCCTCTTTTGGGTGGAGGGAGCTCGAGGACATCGTAGCTCAGTGATGCCGTAAGCTCCTCTCTGCGTTCTGAGACTTGTAAGAACGGATCACACACGATCTTGAGCCATTTCTTCCCAGAACACCATATTGTGAAAGGATAAGACTTCGTCTGTATAGCAAATATATCAGCCTTCAATCCCCAGTAGAGACAGGTGAAATACTTTCAGTCACAACTCGAAGTCTGCATCAATGACATCTGACAAAGTAAATTTGGACATACTGCATCAGCGGTGACTTCGATCTCTTCTTGCCAAAAGATTGCCTGTTTCGCGACGGCTGACTGATTTCTCTTCCATGCCGAGCCACCATCATTCTTCAAGTGCCCAACTTGGATTCCGAATGCTACCCCTCTTTCCATGAACTCAAGGCCCGTCATGGTGGTCGCCGTGGCAATTGCCGCTCCTTTGGAGATATTCCATGAACTACAGCGTAAGTCAGCAAATATGACGTTTGAGAGAAGCTCTGGAACAGCTATCATTACTCCTTATCTCCCGCCTTTTCGTGGAAAAAGAAGGGATCATCGATTTTGGCCTTCCTGCACGCCTCCCAGATGTAGGCCTGGACGATGGAGCTTTTGCCGCTTCCGCCGGAAACTACAACTCGTACCCTGTTGCTGAGAGTTGCCGCCTCAGCAATTTTCTCCTTTGCCAACTCGATGGGTCGTTTCATCCCATCCAAAAAGCAGCCCTCGGCTTCTTCTTCCGAAAGATACACCGTCAGCGATCTCCTGGCATTCTGCGGATCTGTGACATGCAGCGACATCTCCTTGATCTTGTCCGAGCGTAACTTCTTGATATGCAGATGAAAGTTTTGAAGAAGCTGCGTCCGCTCTCTTGGAGGTAACTTGGATTTCAGCTTCTTTTCCAAGTATTCTATTGCAAATTTCCCGAAGGCTTGCTCCCACAGTCCAGTGCCGCCCCTTGTGCCTGGGCGAACAAGATTTAGCCACGGCTGTTCCACAGCAGCACAAACATAGACAATCGAAGTACCGACTTACAGAATGTGTCGCCAACTCTATAGTAGCTAAACACCTGTTTCTTGCCCTGTACAACAGTAAACATGCAGCCGTTCTGATGGATGTTTGTCAGTATCATCTCATACCGGGCGCGGCTTCGGATGTGGGGAGCAAGGTGTCTACATTCTTACCAAAGTGTAGCCGCCAAAGTCCAAGAAGACTAAAAGTGCGGGTTTGTCGGATATTCGAAGAATCTCATCGTGAAGGCGTTGGTTCCAGAATAAGTTATGTGCTGAAGCTAGACTTTCCACGTGGAAGTCCACATCTGTGTCGGTCGTAAAAATATCAGGGAAGTCAGACATGACTCTCCTAATGATGTCTTCGTAGAAGGTTCGCTCCTCGTGCCCCCAGAATGCTGGGTAGGACAGCCCAACCCGAAGGATCTTGACCTCGCTGAGCACACGACCGTGCAAATACCCTCCTTGACAGTAACTTTGTACTTGCTGAAGAACAGCTCTGGCGATGGCGTCCATTCCCTCGTCAATGAGCTCTTGGGAGCTCCTGATTCCCCCCCTGTTCAGATTCTTATTGATAGCCTTGAAACTATTGATGGCGGCGGAATTGCTGCTGAAAAGTTCCTTGGAGGGGGTAGGAATTCGACTATCGTCCATTCTTTCACCAAGGTACACATCGCCCTTTCCGTCTAGATACAGAGCCGAGTTGAAGGCACCCTTTTGGTATCGCTCATCGTGCCCAGGATGAGATCCTGTGTTGAATATATCTTGTAGAATCCGCTCTCTACCTTTGAAAGTGAGTAGACTGACTCTGATTGCGGTACTGCCCCAATCCCAGCCCAATATCCTGTGATCATCTTGTCAGAGGTATGGAAAGTAGTCACAATCTCATACATATTCGTTCGGTAGTTTAGGACAAGAGCTCTTGTCACCTACGCTGAATGAATTTCTGGAGATTCCATATCGTCATAGAGGACACAATCGTCCGATATTTGGAAACTTGACGATAGAAAGTGTGAATCCAAATGCTGGATCAGAAACGAAGGGAGGTTGATGTGATCTGAGTTAACTGTTGAGGTCTCTAAAGTGGAGAAAAGTTAAGAGTGTAGCATATCAAGCAATATAGTTCGAATCAGCACTGCGATGTCAAAGCTTGCAATTGTGCAATTGAATATGGATATATATGATAGTTTCTGATGAAGGATTCATTGTGAGAATTAGAGGGACCAGCAGAAAACATTGAGAACTTGTCATGTTTGCAAGACAATGCAGCAAAGCTTTTGATTGTTTTCCTTGGGATCAGCAGCATAGACTATAAGGGAGTCCTAATTTGAGACAAACAGATTAAATGTTTGCACGCAAAATTGCATGGCGTAAGCGCTTTCGAAGTCTCGAGATCATTAGTGAGGAACGTCCTTGCAGCTATTGTTTTCTCTTTGGTCTTATCTGCTTACGACATGTTTGCTTGCCTTCTCGCGAAAATAAGCGAATGCCCTGAAAATTCATTGACGACATTTGTTTGCGCGCGGCGGGCTGCATTATCAATATCGGTTGCGTGTAGTGAGGTGCAAACACAAGAAAAGTTAAGGCAAGCCTTAATTCTTGCTTGTCTGATCTTAAGGTACTTATATCATCTGCACTTTGAGTTTCCAAACCCTTCCTAAATGTGTCGCAAGAGAAACACCTCGCAGGTCTTGCCCCTATCAGTACATCCTCTTCGCCACCCGTCGTAAGACAAAACCTGCCTATTCATCATGGATGCTGACCTGTCGATGACACCTTCAATCTCTCGGAACGCCGCAGAATATGTTCAAAAGCTGACACAACACTACAACACTCACCTCGAGGGGGAACTGAATCGGGGAATGAAAAAGCTCGTCAATCAATACGAAACCTTCAGGGAAAGAATGCGGGATAAACTCGTGTCCGAAACGCCAAGCCGATTTCCCTCTGATGAGAAAGGGTCTATCGTTGCTCAAATTGAGAGAACCTTTCTCTGCAACGTCAGCAATTTCTCTCTCGAACAGAGTCAAGGGCTTTTCTTCTCTGCCTTGGAGTATGCCCCCTCAAAGCGACCGATGTTCACTACACCGCCTGAACTTCGTCAGCCTAGTGAAACTTCGATAGTGGTATTTAATCAGACTCTTTGGCCTGTTCTCCCCTTCATACCACTCACAATCAAGATAGTCATCAGACGGGCTTTCTTCAGAAAAGACTGAAAAGACCACAGAGCCTCACTTGGAATCTCGGAATCCTTCCCCCCAAGTGCCTAGTCATGACCGTCTAGACTTGAATAAGGGACGCAGGCGGAATCATAGCCTTGAGAACTTGGAAGATACACAGACACATAGATCATCCCCTGCGTCATCGACCAAGGAGCCGCTCCAAAGAACGATTCCCAAGAGCGGCCGTCAGAAGCTTATATTGAAGAAACAGAACAACAAGCGCTTGCAACGTTCTATACAGAAGAATGTAGCATGCACCTTGACGTCGTCAATCACAGTATACTACCCCAAGAACTTTGTCTTTTCTTACACACTCAATGACGAAACAAGTTTCTACATTCTTTCTTGCCCAAAGATGAGCAAAGGCTGCCATGATCCAATCTTCAATAGTGATCCCTTTGAAGATGGTCTAGCAACTACGCACTTCAAGAATTGCGGCATCGCTTTTACCAGCGACGACGAGATTGTTCGTACATACGCTCGGCGAGGTCAGTGAACGGGTACTTGGTCTCTTTAATGTGTTCATTTGATCTCACATATCAATGCTACGTAGTCAAATCGCCACGGAACGCCCCAGTCAAGCAGAGCTGGGTGAAGGAACACAACGACAGACTGAAAGCCGGAAAACCATCAAGTCCGCAGAGTAGGTCTAGTACTTTGGCATTTCAGATTCACGCTCAAGACTCACTCAAATACAATACAGACCCTGCCCAGATCAGTACCTGTCATGGTATCCCCGTATGCGGGAAGGAGACGAAGGGCAAACCTGGCGGGACTGAAGGTAATAAAGACTCTAGCTTCGAGCCTGAATCAGACAATCACAGAGACGAGTTGGCTATAGGGTCAGATGATGGCACGGATTGAAACCCGACTGGACCGCTTCATCAATATGTATATAGCAATTCTTTGTCTCTTAGCTTCCAGGAAACTTTAGTAGACCAAAACCCTGGGTACGGAGAACCATTCGTTCAACATAATTCTAGGCTTACCGGGTATCTGTTACAAATAAGACATATCTTCAAAAGCTTATATAGGGTTTCCAACTTTTCTAAACGATCATCTTCTACGTGCGTTTTTTAGACGACTAGGAAGTGGCAACGGCCTATGACATTTAACCCAGGTCGTATGTAGTGCTGGGCTCTGTGAACACGTGCACCAGTGGCGTCGTAGCTCGCTCATGATACGCTCGGTCGGGGTTCTGAGCGGTCGGTCTGCCAGCACTGACTGTCACTCATCTAGTCCAAGGAAAATCATGTGATGTCTTGGTTTGTCCAATCAGCATTCCTAGAAGTTGCTGCACACTTATCCAAGAGTATCACTTGTGTTGTACTACATAGATCTTGCATTTGTGGCTTTCATTCGAAGCAATTATTTTGCAAGGAGCGGCATTTGATAACCAATAGCCCAGCAGGATGTCGTCAAGAAAAGGACCTTGCAGGAGCATTGCAGCATCACCTGACGCACTAAGTCTGCCTTGTTCAGAAGGAATGAATCCGAGTCGAGCTGCCAATATAAAAACGCCGTAGTTCTCCTATAAACCCATTCCGACTTAGCTCTCCACCCAGCCTCGAAAACAGTCCTCATTTTGGTAGCATCGCCAAGACATCCAGAAGGTTTCCTAAACCATCCGCCCTCCCCGAACTGCCTGCTCCACTTCAATAATCTGACACCAACTCTCTAATATAATCAACACTCCCTTAAGCACATTAGATATTGTGGCACACTCTGTCCTCTCATTATACCCTGCCTCAACGGAATCACTCATTTCCCGGAGCAGGTCAAGATTCGATGGGAGGGCCAGGAGATGTAGCTTCTGGCGCCGTTCTACAATATTATTTCGCGAATTCCTTTTGCGACTTTAAAACAGGACAAGTAATGCCTTCATTTTGCTATGAATCAATTGATGTTCAGGTTTTATATGGATACTCCATCAGAAGGCTTATCTTTCGCCATGGAAACTTGTTTTACGTCAGGATTATTTACGACAATTATATTGCGCATACCTCCCAGTTTGTTACTGCTCCGATACCCCTATCATCTTTGAGCGGTTATGTGCCTTTGGCCAGCTACAAATCCTTAGGGAATCAAGGAACAAGAGGCGAGAGATTCGACCGCTTTTTCATGAATTTGTCGACGCCAGATGATCTGTATGGCTGTCTTTTCAGACAGCCAGGTGCTTGTGCGGAGATAGGCAAGGTCATCTGGTGCGATGGTGGTTTCTGGACCTATGACAATTCCAAGGGACGTCCTGGAATCACCTTGGGCTACGATAGCCACACTCGCATTTCTATAATTTCTCCCACGTCAACGAAATCTCAAGGTCGTACCGACACACACCTGTTCCTTGCCGGCAGCCCAGATACCCAAGATCGCGCAGACCTGCATTTTGTCGACGGCAGCAATAACAGGACTTATATGCCCAAAGACTGTTATTTCAACTATAGGGATACCTGGGCCGTACCTCACGATTGTGTCCGGCCCTTGTATAAAGGCACCATTCGCGTCGACAAAAACAGTCGGATTTTTGATACCCAAAACAAATTTGCGGAAGCCTAAGCTTTATCACCTGAAAGATAAAACTTGAATTCCACCATCTCTCCTCGGAAACAGAAGCTCCGTCCAGCCGCTGGCGCAAGTAGGATGTGCACACAGTCTTTTCACTTGAGCCCGAACAACACTACTAGGTGGACGAACCCTAAGCTTCCGAACAGGCCGAGCCCGAGGTCTAGGAAAACTCATGATTTCCACGAAGTGGAAGATCGATTGTCAATTTCATTCAACTTGTTGGTCGAACGGTCATACCCCGGTGTGGTAGAGAGGGGGAGGTTGATGGCGTTGGTACAAGTCCTTCATTTTGAGAACCTATCCTATTTCCTAAGAAACGATCAAAACTGAACCCCCGCCCCCCCCCCCCCCCCCCCCCGCGGGGGGGGGGGGAAAAGGAGGAGAGGAGGAGGGGGAGGAAGGGGAAAAAAAAAAAAAAAAAAAAAAAAAAAAAAAAAAAAAAAAAAAAAAAAAAAAAAAACCCAACACCCCCCCCCCCCCCCCCCCCCCCCCCGGAGGAAAAAAAAAAAAAAAAAAAAAAAGGGAAAAAAAGAAAAAAAAAAAAAAAAAAAAAAAAAAAAAAAACCAGAAAAACGAAAAAGAAAAAAAAAGATTTCCTTTGTCGTTTTTGTAGCATTGGAGCAGGTCTCCCTCCTTTCATATTCAAGTTCGGCATGAAGAGATTTGGGGGGCCGGCTTAGGGGGTCTACCTTGATGTCATGGTGCTATCACACTGTACAAAGGCTGTGTCCGGGAGGGGCGAGGTCGCTAGATTTTAGTTAGGTGCTTCATGGCCAACGGCAAAATCTACCTTGTGCTCTCCATCTAGGATCTTGACCAAGATTCCGTACCTCTACATGAATGCCTATTGACTAGCTAACTTCAAGCTCAGCCTAAGCAATCTCAACAAGGATATCTGAACTGTGTAGGGTTTCAATCTGCTGGAGAGTGCGAACTTACTCTCCCCTTTCCCAGATCATTAGGGATTTCAATTACGTACACTGTATGGTAAAGAGGAATGACATATGTAGTTTGAATCTTAGACTGTGGGGACCAATTCAAACAGCAGATGTATCGAAGGTGAATATGCTGGAGTATCCAATTATCAACGATACATCGCTATAAGTTCATTGCAGAGTCCGGATATAATAGTACGGGTGCTGGAAATAGAGACGGTGGAATCGAATAGGGACTTGGACAAAGTGATGTGCGCTGGTTTCGATAGGCAGACGGTCTGCACTAACCCGGCAGTACAGTAGGGTGCCAAAAGTTCGTGTACACCCTCCCAGTGCGTCACCTATAGCCCACTAACTACGTCTCTTTATTATTATAAATATCGTCTTAACTTAGGTATAAATAATAATATTTTAAAATTTTATAAAATACTTAAGTATATAAACTATATAAAACCATTTTTTATATATTTTAAAAAATATTATAATAGTACTTTATAATAAGATATAAAGTAGAATATAAAATAAAAAAAGATTTATCAAGAAGTACAGTGCTATTCGCACTTAATAGGCCCTATAATCTACTATAATAAAAATCTTTTAAAACCTATTTTTTAAAAGATTTATTTAACGCTTTTATAATTAAATCAAATATAATACAACTTAGTTATATACTAATATAATAGCTAATTAGTTATATAGTAATTTCTGATTTCTTTTTTCTATTATATTTAAGTTTTAATTCGCTGTTGAAAAGTAGTACTTTTGCGGGATACTGTGCGCTGCACACGAACTTTCGACACCCCACTGTATACTTTCAGCGTGGCGGCCGCTAACATCGGTTGACCCTAGAAATACAGTGATCCCCCGAGTCACATCCTATAGCCCCCGAAGCATGCCCTGAACGGACTTTCTCTAGAATGTCGAGTTACCAACACGATGTTCATACATTGACATGATGTTACTCAATTGTATAAGTACTTATGCAGTTCCCTGAAATTCAATATCGAGTACATAGTGCTAGCGATCGAAGCAAGTGATTTAAACACATTTCCTTCCGGCACATATCAAAGGGAAGGTAATCTGCTCCTGGGGTTTAGTAGATAGGCAGAAGCTGAATTACAGTGCAGCCCCATAGAGGCCTCTGACCCCAACCATAGAAGCTTAAAAACGGTTCAGCTCCATTCTCGCACACCATGAATGCACCATTAAAATCTGGACCCATTTCCCCGGGATAGTATACCCCGTTTTCGTTGAGGGTGAGACCTTGTGTACCGTCTTCGCACTTGAGCTCCACTGGTCTACCGCTAGGTACCATCGCAGGCCCGCGCCAGGGCACCACCATGCCGGAAAAGGAGGATGAGTCGCCGCCAAAGTCAACGCCAAGGGTATTATTATTGGCATAGAACATGCTTCCTTGACTCTCGGGTACCAGGATCACGGTGGCTTGACATGCGGCGTCGGAGACGTAGCCGAGCTCATAACCCTGGATAATAGGCCCATTGCCTGGAGAATCGGGGTAAAGCATGTTGGCCCATAGACGGAAACTGTTGGTTCCATCATCGTTCCTGGCGGAAATGGTTGCCGCTATTGCACCAGCAGCAAGAACGGTTGTTTTCAGGATGGCTTGAATGACCATTTCGAAGTTGTCTTTGGATAGAATGAGGAAGGTTAGCAATTAGGTTTCTTTGATAAACGTATGGACGCACAAAGCATTTGGTTACGGTCTGGAGTTGATATGATGCAAGGTACCGTGGAAAGCTTCGTCCTATTTATATTGATGTCCACCAATCTTCAGTATGACTCCAAGACCTGTTTCAATATGGGAATGTAACGACATTTTGGGCCTTGTCGATATTTCGCCCATGTATGTCTTCTGTTTGTGCCCGGATCTTCCCACACCGCTCGTAAGATGGTGGGCTTACGAGAGTCCATTCGACTGCAGGTCTGCCTATGAGGACCTCCGCAAGATATTGCCTCGGGAAGGAATTTCGCTAGTCGGACGCTGGCCAAGGCTGACTTACATCAATTGTCCACGATCTACCTCGTATCCTTGAGGCAATATTACGTGCATAAGCTGTAAGATCAGATATGCCTAAGCGAATTCCAACAAGGCTATGATTACCATGCGATCAGAAGAAAACAAATACGAGGGACTGTACACAAGAAACGTCATGCGCTTTCGAATTATCAAAAGAGGTGTAGAACGCAGCTAAAGACCAAAGGATGTCCTCTCTGGCTGTTTGACTTATCCAGCGGCAGCTGAGTATGGGAACAGTGGCCTCAGGAGGAGATCTTCTGAAGCTGATGCTAACTCCTAATGTTGATTATCGATTTACAAAAAAAAACGTTTCGTCTTGTTGAGTGAGTTCATGGTTTCTGCAACCTGTTGCTGCTATGTCGCCAATTCCTCTCAATCACCTTTTGTTCAATGATTAGTTATGTGTCACTTTTACCCGCATTGCAGAGTAAGTATGTGAGAGCCCTCAAAGACCCGATCCACTGCCTTCCTCGCCAAAGGTTTCGACAGTGCGGCCTATTTTCCCTTAGTACGTGGCTACATACAACCTATAGTGACCTGATTGAAATGATGATTCATTCACAAAGTGCATTCTTGTGGGCATTGTGGACTAGATGATGGGGAGTGAGATGACAAGAATTTGTGGTGGACGTAGTAGGCTTCACTTAGATCGCCTGTATATCTCGTTTTGGAACTATTTGGCAATGATTTCCTTTTCCTTCATTCCTACTTCGAGGCCACAAACCATGGCTAGATTTCGCCGAAAAGGAGACTATTGGCGTCCAGCTCGTCAGGCCCGGGAACTTCGTCGGACTGCCTGAAATGCGCGTACCAGGCGAGAAACTCTGGAATCGTCTCAAAGATGTGTAAGCCGTGATCCAGCGTGGAAAGAGTGTACCTCCACTTCCAAGGATCTTCGTCAGACTCGCGGCTATACACAATGCTGAAGTTGGCATCAGGCCCTGTGCCAGGCGCCCACCCTCCCGCGATTTGCCAGCACTCTGGGAGGCCCGCGTGCTGCGTCAGGTCCTCAGGTGTCATCACCCTGTCGGCGTGCGGGCATAGATCATCTCGGCAACCCCACCAAAAGGCCGGGTGGGCCCGGTTCCGAAAGACGGGCAGCCCATAGCCCACAATACCGTCAACGAGCCTGGCCAGCACGCGAAAGTCCTCGGGAATCGAAATGGTTTCTCGCACGTCTTCTCTAGACTTTCGCTTCAGACTCTCTTCAATGACGGAGAGGTACTCGCGACGAATAGCGTCACGCTCCTCAGAGGTGCCTTCGTGCTCTTGCATCACGTAGGTACCGTCGAGGCCAATCCTCGGCGCCAGCTCATCGAAACGTGTAAGAATCTCGCTGGGCTCTGAAACGCCAAAGTCTTTGATGGTGGTGTCAAGAAGCGTGTTAAGGCCGTCCAGGCGGAGTTCTTCGACGTCCTCATCATCTTCTACATCGTCAGGTACCGCGGTGGCAATGAATGGTACGTAAATATCGAGAGCGCGGCGGTTCTGCGTTGAGATGAATGAGCGATATGCAGCCAGCGAGACTGCGATGTCATCTGGAGATGAGGCCATCTTAGAAGATGAGGGCTGAGGAATGGATTCTAACAAGCGGTGTCAAGCAAGTGATATCAATTAGAAATTTAACAGGGCCTCGGGGAGATGAATGAAAGATCTCTGGGTCATGTTGGACGGAAGCCTCTTCTAGATTCTAGGCAACCCTTTAACTTAGCTCGTAGTCTAACCAAACCGGGATCGTCAAGCAAATGTGGAGAACATTATGTTTGCGGCGACATCATGTGCTGGAAGACACTGAATTTCCTCAAACTATAAGTATCAACGTTTACGTGGTTCGCGGGAGAAATAAGTAAAACTGCACGAGTAAAAGAAGCAATTCTCGGTACCTCTGAGAACTTAAATACACGAGAATAAATGAATTAAGAAGTGGAGTTGTGAGGGCATTTGGCTCAACATGTGAGATCGACCCGGCTTGTCTTCCCTCCTTTGATCTGGACTTGGCCGTATGCTCTACTGGCTGCGCGTGTTTGTGGCCAAGAAAGAAACATCGAGGCATCGACGCTCCTTTTGTAACCAGCAATGACTTTGCCAGGATCTCCGAGCGAGAATTAAACCGGCTGGCCACCGGGGCTGAAGTTGCCACATTCCGACAGAATAACATTCCAGCGCTCGGCCTCGTGGAAGCGCTGAGTAGAGGGAAGGTTCGGGAAGGGGATCTCGCGCCAGTTGACGCATTCCCACATGGCGAGGGAAGCAAAGTCGGCGACGGTGCGGCAGGGGACGTTGATGGCGTACGTGTTGTCGTTGCACCACGCAATGGCCGAATCCTGGTTGCAGGTGGTCCGGATGCACTGGCGTGCCTGCACGATGCAGCGACCGACGTTGTACAAGTGATTGATGCCAGTTTGGATATCAATCTGGGACACGAGGCCCCAGCGGCCAGCTCCGCAGGTTTGAGAATAAGCCTGTTGTTCATTAGTAAGACTGCTGTTGAAGTGTGGTGAGAATAGGTACCTGGCGAGCTTCGAGAGTGCTATTGTCGTGCATATCTCTCTGTTCAACACCGGACTCGGTGATGTTGACAAAGATGGAGGCCTCGGGGGCGTCGATGAGGATCTGGGCGTTGATAGCCTCGATGTCGGCGCCCTCGTAGTACACATCAGGACCTCCGGGGGTAAGGGGCCCCTCCCAGCCCAGAAGGCCAATGGGATAGGGAATCACACTCTCATCCCTAGCAACGAGGCCAGAATCGACTGGAGAGGCCTAGATAAAGCAAGATTTAGTAAAGAGGTCTATTACCCATAATAAAAGGTAGGTTGTCAGAGCCGCGACTTACATAAGTAATGCGAGCCATGGTGGCCGCCATGAGTGTGGAGAGAACAGTCTTCATGGTGAGTAGAGTAGATTGAATTAGACTCCCTGATGTTAATTGAGAGGTTGCGGTTGATGATGAGAGCAGGTGGATTGGAACCTCATGAATAGTGAGACTTGATCAAATCTTTATACTCCGCGAGTGAGGGGCTGAACCTTTCAAGCCTCGGTCATGAGGCTTGCCTTCCCACTAGAATAAATCAGACTCGACACACTGCCTACTCCAAAGTCTCAATAAGAGACTTAGTTTCCTCGATAATTTTACACTCGACCCAATCAAAGCATGTAAAAGTTTTCGAAGTCCAATTTTAATCCTGCGGGATCTGCCAAGTCATAGTGAAGTTGCAGTACATAGATCAGGGCCGCCAGGGTTAAGCTTGGCAGCAATATACGAATTCTTGACTTCTCGTGTATCAATGCCATAGACTAAGTAGCCTCATAAGGTTGAGGTCTGGGCACAGTGACTGAAGTTCTGTCTTGGTGCCACATGTGACTGAGAGGTCCACACTGACGGAAGTTCTTATAATGGCTTGGCACCAAGCATGACCCCCTAGTTTTGGGCTGATTCAACTCTCAATTTGAGCTCAGGCTCAACGGGAATCTCCAAGGTTTGATTTTTTTTAAGGAATGGTTTAACAAAAGGTTTGGGAGAGGCCATAGATAACGGTCGTAGGCCTTTCCAACTTGATTGTTGTGACTATGCTTTGAGTATCCCCCTAAAGGCCGAACAGCAATCGAGGTGGGAGTAGCAAAGGAGTTTAACTGACAAGAGAGTTAATAGTTCCTTCGTATAAAGTGAGCAAAGGGAACTAAATGTAGCGGGCTTCGCGATGCAAACAGCAAGCGAGCAAATCAAAGTGAGGGATTTTTGCGGTTAATAATTCGATGGAATCCCTCGGCTAGCTACCTACGGCAGGACGTTGGCATTGCATGGAGTTCCAGTGCCTGCCTATTACTAGCATCCCGAAGTCCCAAACAGTCTTCTTGAAGTAAGCTTATTTTGGCCGAGGACCCGATGCGAGGTGTAACCATGCCTATTCAGATTTTGACCGAGTGCCAAGAGGGATTATCGTGGTATAGCGCACCCTCATGCCAAGCCAAGCTGAGAACCGAAGTCCTTTTCCACCGCTTGGTTCTTGAGGGAATACTTCCTGTCAGAAACATGTTCAATATTGTCCCGAGCGGCTAGGGACGGCTACATAGTGGACTAATGTGTTAATTGCTCATCTAGAAAGGGTGTATCCCGGGTTGTATCTTTGAGCATAACAACGGCAGCTGCGCCGCTCGCGGGCTTGTATACGGGTCACTCGTCTGGCAATTCTCGAAACATTCAGGCAGCTATCATGATGGCATGTGTGATTGTTCTTCATTCTGCTCTTCGGTTTCAGGCGCCGAAGTTCTTTCGTCGTCGCTCCAAGCTAGTCCATATTTGCTATTCAACCGCTTGTCCACCCAGCGAGTCCGAAAAGTCCGAGAAAGCCAACATACATTCTTGGAAGCAAGCGCGTCCGGACCTTCCGGGACCCTTCGTACAGTGAATCCGGGGTCTAAAACAATAGCCGACTACAACTCCGGCGTGGGTTGTCGAAGGGTAGGGTCTTGGCTTGGGCGACTGCGCACCCGGGGAGACCACTGGGGGAACTCGTAGAACGTCGGCCGTCCCAGATGACATGGTTGAGTTTCCAGCTCAATGCCAACGGCCTAATTGCTTAAGTCACCGGCTTACTCTATGTTCAAATTTCGCCGGATGTGGAGGCGCCGACGATACAGGGATCGTCCCAGATGCTGATCAGCCGCCAGAGGACGACGCGGTTTTAGCTCGAGAAGAGGACAGAGTTCAACTGAGGCCCGAATGTCCAGGGCCATATATGGTGGGAGGAGATTGGATGTTAAGGCAAGGCAGCATCTGAACTCCGGCAATGGAGACCGAATGAGATATCTCCCAAGAGCCTGTTGTCGAGGCGCGGAGGAGACGTCCCAATTCCTGAGCCGTATTTTCATGCTCAGGCATTAGCGTATCGCTGGCAACTGGGCGAGGGACTGGCAGATGGCTTGCTTAACAAGAAATAAAAGTCCCTTGATTCTCTCGGCTTGCGCCCGGTCCCCATGTTGGGTTCCAAAATATTTATCCAAGGTGTATGCTGTATTTAAAAAGAGTATGCATGCCGCTCCCTGAAGCGCCTCCGCCTGGCCAGATACCGTTGTACTCGTAGCTCAAATCCCACCGGCCACAGCCACTCTCTGAACTTCCCCTTGAAATATATATGCGTGCAGATTTTTGTTCTCCCCCTTTGGTCTCGAAAAAAGGACAATCCTCGTTGGTTACGCGAGCCAGCCTGGCATCTAGCCGCGTCCACCGTTGTAGTCAGCGCCGCCAGCCTTGCGCAACCGCTTGACAATGTCGTCCTCGTCCAAGTCGCCCTTGTGATCGGCGTTGACCGTTATGCTGTGGTGCGGCAGCACCCTCTTGACCTCGCTGCTCTCGATGCTGACGCGGGCCTTGCGCATAATCTTTGTGTTCTGGCCGATCCAAATGACAAAGGCGAACTTGACGCGCTTGCTCTCGACGTCGTTGGCGTACTCGACGCGGACGTAGGCGTACTGGACCTGTGAGTCGTCCAGCTCCGAGGCCAGCTCGGACAGGCCGCCAGTGCCCGTCTTTGTGAGGGTCATCTTGTTGCCGACGGCGCTGGCGTAGGAGATGAGGAGCCAGCTCGTCTCGTCCTTGTCGGAGCGAACGGCATCGTAGGCCGCGGCAATTTCAGGGGCGTCGAGACCGGACATGTTTTGCGGCTGGCGGATGTTCGGGATCGGGAGTGCTAAGAGAACGGCGGCGGAGGAGGAACGAGGAGGAGGTGGTCCCTTTGGTGGAGACTGGGGTCCGGGTGTGAGCGGGAAAGGTTGGAGACAAAGAGAAAGTTAGATAGGACGAGAGGGAACAAAGGTTCTTCGCTTCTCGAATCCTGCAGGTGGTTTGGGGCCGGAGAGGCAGAGGGAGGGGTGGTCGTTGATTGTGTAGGTGCTTGGATGAGAGTGGTTCGAGAAGAAGTGACAGCGGATTGGCGGTGACGAGACTCGACGTTTGGCAAAGTACGAAACGGCGTCCAGAAAGGCCAAGGTTGCATTCTTCTCCCACTCGTCTGGTTCCAGGTCCCGCCCATCTTTCCTTTAACCCCACCATCCGAGGGCGAATCAAGCTGGAGGGGGAGGGGCAGATTTGTCTACGTACCTAACTATGGTGACCAGTCTTCGAGCACAGGCCATGGCCGGCCTCACCCGAAGTCCCTCCGGTCCACTATCGGAATGCTGAGTCATCCTACCCTCTCAGCGAAGTGCCTTGTACACCGAACCGTGTGCACTCAGCCAGTTCGGTATGTCTCGGTGTGAATCGTCCCCACCGAATTGCATTTCCCATCATGCCACCCCGATACACTGGCTGAAAGCTTAGCGGCTGTTGAAACATTCACACAAAAGCCTTGCTTAAATACATCTCATCCATCAGATGGAGCAGCAACATACAGCCCAGGTATTCAGACGATGCCTCAGTGTCACCGTACTGCTTCGACACTCAAGTCAATAGCGTTGCAGTCGGTGACTAAGCAACTGCTTCTTTTCTTAGACCTCGCACACCGAGCGTCGTGGACCCCTAACATCCCGATATCCCTGACCCCTGCGCTGAGTCGACCTTGCGGTAGATCGTGCGACGAAACAGCCCCTCATGCAAAACGTCCATCACTGACCTTGACAGGCCCCGTCCAGCACCTGTACCAGAATGACACAAAGCTGGAGGGTTGCTTGACGTCGCACGCATGATAGACCTCGACACCCCTTAAGCGCCCAATCCAAGCGCGAATAAGCGTCCGGTCCCCCGGAGGGACATTGGCGCGTCTCAAGACCGTTCAACGTCCGCCCGCTCGGTCCTCGATGCACACCGCGCCCCCCGTGGGGGAACCCGGTCAAAAGTCAAAGGTTCTGCGACACAAGAGCAGACCGCATGACATCAAATACCACACCAGATAACCCCTTCTCCGACCACATGCGAGCAGGAGCTGGAACCAGGGGCCCTCTCAACTTGTTTGGTGTTTCTTGGCTCCATATTTGTCGGATCGGCCGGCGGGATATATCAAACGTCGACGTCGCCTCTCGAGCTCTTTCAAGCTTGTTTCCAGAAACAGACGACGCAGCTATTGCTAAAATCTTCACCAAGCTTAGACTTTCTGCCTACTAATCGCCCAAAATGTCCAATGAGTTGGCTAGCCAGGCGGGCTGGGAAGCCAACCCGCTATCCTTCCTGTACCGCCAGGCCGTCATCACACCAGCCGAGATCCCGGAAGAATTCGACTTGTCTGATTGCACTCTCATCATGACGGGTGCCAGTAGCGGCCTCGGGCTCGAAGCCAGCCGTCAGTTCCTCGAGCGCTCACTCGGTCGCCTCATTATGGGCGTCCGCAACACATCAAAGGGGGAGGCCCTCGCCGAAGGCCTACGACGGGAATTCCCCATGGCGCAAATCCAAGTATGGCACCTGGAAATGGAGTCATATGAGAGTGTCAGAAACTTTGTTGCTCGGTGCAAGAAGGAGCTGACGCGGATCGACATCGTCATCCTCAACGCCGCGGTTGTCGCCCAAAACTTTATAGTCTCCCGGGAAGGCCACGAACTCATGCTTCAAGTCAATTTTCTCTCTACCACATTACTGGCCCTACTTCTACTCCCGGTCATGAAGCAGAAGAAGCCGGCGGGAGACCAGGCGAGGCTAGTTATCGTCAGCTCGGATTTTACGTATTGGCATACGCCAGAAGAGGACATGGTGACGGGTTCAATGTTCAAGCCGGCCGACAAAGAAACCCTGTGGGAATCTGGGAAGAATTATCAGCAGTCCAAATTCCTGGGCCAGCTTTTCGTAGCAAAGCTTGCGACCTACGTCAACCCGAACCAGATCATTGTCAATCTCGCCAATTCGGGTCTTACCAGCGGTACCAATATCGTCAAGCCAGCAAGCGAGTCATGGTTCATGGGCCTGATGAAGAAGACTATTGGTCGCAGCGTGGAAGTTGGCGCTAGGAGCTATCTTGATGCGGCAATAGTAAAGGGCAGAGAGAGTCACGGGAGCTTCACCTCGGACGGACTCATCAAGCCGTAAGTCAAACTACAAGAATCTCGCAACCTGAGGATGGAGCGATTATAGAGCTAATATGAATTCAGATGGCCGGCTGTGATGTACACATCTGAGGGGAATGGCCTTAAAGAAAGGATATGGGCAGAGACGAAGAAGGAGCCCGGGTTCGCAGAGGCCTTCGCGGAGGTTGAAAAGGGCCTCTGAGCATGTAGGGCTGGGCCGACGAAGAGACGTGTATGAATCACTAAGGAGGCTACGTAATATTTGGTAAAATTCCCCAATAGCCTACAAAGTTGAGGCTGGCGTGTGCAGGTACAGCGTTATCAAGCGGATATAGCTCAAGAAGCAAACTGGGATATATGAGATGAGCATTCAACCTACTTGGTCGATAAACGACGACTACTTTACGCCTAAGTGCATACAGCTTTAGGTGGAAATACAAGCCAAGCTCCCTTGGCTTGCCAAGATACGCACAGGTCTCCTATCAGTTACAAAGATTCTCGGCAAAGAACGGGTGAACGAAGAACACATTGGGTATCGTCTGAGATGCCGATGACTTACTTTCCACACGGTTCGCAGGGTCAAGCCCAACCGTAGCTGTACTGAATTATTGGCCGTCCTCCATGATGGCACATAGGCGGCTCACACCCTGGAATGATGCGTATTTTGTGGTCACCCCTGAATGCCCTGAATCAGTGAGCGTAGCAGCATTTGGGATGGAAGGACGTGTCAAGGCATTGCCAGATCTCTGATTCCTAGACTACAAACGTCCTGGAGGCAGTAGGCAACCGAGCAGATGTGTCTTTGATGCCTGCCTACAAGCGCAATACAGCCCTGCAACGGTCAACACCTTTCGAATTCGACGAGTACTCTCTCTCGTTTCAGCTGCCTGCTTGACCCACCTTGTGGTATCTAAGTTACCTCCCTTTGCGATTTGTGCGGTACCACCATACTTGGGCATTCACTTGATTTCTTGACCATCGGAGAAACATTATTGGAAGGTATTTAATCCATCTTTCTCCCTGCAATCCACGACATCTTCACTCTGCATCATCTCGATATTCATTCCTTGACTTTCACCTTCGTCTCAACTGACGTTACAACTGACAGTTCACCGCCCCTACAGACCAAAAGTGCAGAATGTCTTCCGTATCCACGCTCCGAGAGCTTGCAAAGCAGGTCTCTGAAACCATTTCAGACGACGATTTGTCCGGTAGTACGTTTGCTATTGGCGGCGAGGTTCCTATCGAGCAGCCTCAAGGCGATTCTAGCCCTACAGCTCAGGTCGCATCTTCTTCGGTCGTTCTTCGGTGGGACAATCCAGCGGAACATCCTGGTCCCCAACGAGTGTCTTTCCCAGTCGCTTCAGATGACGACGCCGTCGCGTTCAAGCACCTCCTCAAAGCCTCTGAGAAGGCTACATTCGGGCTCAACGGACGGCACTAATTTGATGAAACGTACCGCAAGGCTCAGAAGCTCGGTGCGGGTGATTTCTGCACCTCCTTCTGCCCGTATGAAACAGGCATCATCGACGCTGTTTGCCAGGTTCTTCTCCCGAGCTACGACATGGATGAGGACAAGCGGGCAATCCGTGCGGAGCTGTACAATATGAATGTAAGTGGGTTGATGCATGGTGGTGTACAACCTCGATCTCTCTGACATGACCTTATTACAGATCTACTCTGGTCCTTCGGGCAAGTTCAAGGCGCACGTCGATACTCCACGTTCACCCTACCAGATTGGCTCCTTGGTTGTCTGTCTTCCGATGAAGCATGAGGGTGGCGAGCTGGCCGTGAGACATTCTGGACAGACTCATTCCTTCGACTGGGCCAAAAACTCCAACAACTGCGTCATTCAGTGGGCGGCCTTCTACAGCGACTGCGAACACGAAGTGCTCGAGGTCAAGTCCGGTCACAGGGTTACACTCACATACAACTTGTATGCCACAGCAGGAAACGGAGAACTCGCAGGTCAAATGTCTGCTTTCAGCCCTACTTCGCTACCACTCTATAGCCAGATCGTAGACTTGCTCAGCTCCAAGAAATTCCAGTCCAAGGATAGACTTCTGGGAGTCTACAGCACGCACGCGTATCCTCACACCGAGAAGGAACATGGCCTTCCGTTCTGCCTCAAGGGTCTTGACATGGTGCTCTACAACACCTTCAAGAGCCTGGGCTTGAAAGTCCACTTGTGTGCTATTCTCGAAAACCCGAAAGGCTTTAGCAGGCGCAAGCTTTACAATGGGGAATTCTCCGATGAAGATACAGATACCGAGCCAACGCAGAAGAAGATGACACTGGCGAAGAACGACAATGGCGCCGACTCAGACTCGGGAGACGACGACACAGAATCAGGAGACGACGACACAGACTCGGGAGACGACGACACAGACTCGGAAGACGAAGACACAGACTCGGAAGACGACGACAGTAGGAAGTACTATACCAGAACCGTAGGATACATCAACCAAGCGTATTCCACTGACGAGCTGGTTGAGGACGACGATGACATGAAGAGCATCATCAACCGGGCTATGAGAACCGACAAGGTCAAGTTTGACGCCAGCAAGATCGTTTGGCTGAACAAGAACAATAGCGAGTCGAATATGCAGGTGTCATATATGGCAGTACGTTTCCCCCGTTGTCCGCGTTGAGATTTGAATTTAGCTAACACGTACTTCCAGTACGGCAACGAACCATCCTCTGAGGAAATTTACTCTTACTTTGCGATGGTCGTTGAAATCCCTGCTATTGGAGTGAACGCAAGCGATAATGAGCGAGCGTAGAATCAGACACCTAATGGACGCAGGGACGAGAAGCATTGAACGAGGCACCGACAAGCAAGCGATTGTGTATGGATAGTCAGTGCGGCTTTGCGTTTCGATCGCGGAGTCAGATCGTATGGAACCATCATGAAGTCATATAAAACCTAGTACTATTGATAGAATGGGGGGTGAAGTAGTTAGTAAATCCAAGTTGAATGCAAACTTCCTTGAAGATGCATACCAGAGGAAGGAAGTCAGTGCATTTCACGTTTCTTGTTTCCCGACAAACGATTTTCAAAGATTAGACTTAATGGTGACAATATAACAGTCCTTAAGTAAAGTTTCTAGTATCTCTCAGACTAACATCGACCTAGTGTATCGTTCTCTGTACAATATCGAGGAGTATGTCAACGTCGACCTCTAAGGAATTGGGTTTAAGGTTGTTGTAGTAACGCTTGACGACTGGAAGATGCATATACTATGCTGAATGTGAGACAGGACTCTTAGATCTTAGCACAACTGGATTGATAGTGAAGCTTACGCCAATCTGGGGAGCCATGCTGATATATTGACCAGGGAGTGGCGTTGTCAGACTTGGAAGTTTCGACTAGGACACCGATGGAGGCACAACAAAGACCAGAATGATGAAATCGGAGACAATTACTGGCGAATGATAGAAACAGGGACTTATTCTTGCTGTTTCTAAGCTACGAGATGAACACTTGGTTCCTTATGTATGTTTTTCTGATGATGATTGAGTCTCATACTTACGAAATGCAATAACACATCCAGGCCTTGTTCGAGGACCAATGCTGTTGGCCTTGAACTGAGGCCCAGTGTGACGCCTAACGAGAGTGGGCGAAGCAAATGGAGGTACACAATCTGATAACGAAAGAAAACCCCCGCAAAGCTTCAGCGTAGGATGATAACAGAGCATCGTTGACGAAACCAGAAACACCTTGCAATGTTTGACACAACAACTAAGAAACCGCTTTCTCGCCGGCCGGAGAAGTATCCTGGAGTTCTATTATCTAGATTCATCTCAATATTGGTGGACGATGCCTCTAGGCCATGCCGTGCAGTCAGTCGCCGCGAACCAACAAGTTTCGTAATTTCGTACCTGAAAGTACGTCTCTGATTGCATGGCGGACTAACCTTGTCCCGAGAATACAGACGGCACCTTACCTCTGGCCAAGCTTTACCAACACCTCAAGGGCTCAGCGCTTTAGAAAATCCCCATTTACCCCCGCAGCGCAACCTGTCCCATATCTTCCACTCTATAGCGAACATGAGTCCCCGTGTATGCTCGTGCACTCTCTGCGGGTGGATCGTCGTCGATGCACCAGGCAGCGTTTCTTGGTTGAATCAATTCCGCGGAGGTAGGTGCTCTAGGTTTGTTTTCGGTGTATGAAGCATACTAAGTTGATCCGAAGTCACTTCAAGTCCAAATGGCGTCATTCTCACCGGTGTTGGCTTATACGATGATCCGGCAAGGGGCGTATTCATCGCCCCAGTCGACCCCAAGCGTCGTTGGGATGACCCAACCTACGACAGTACAGATGAAGACCAATTCGGTGCTATGGGCTTCCCGCCAGTTAACGGAAGACACGGCTTTGTTTTCCATGAAGCCTGCTGGGACCTCTTACAGAAAGCCTTCCATCCGAGTCCAGTTCTCTTATTGAGACTGTTCGACGTCTGCGAATCACTCCCATTTCCGCTATTGTCAGTAGGTATCAGCTGGGGCCACGACTACGGGGGAGCCAGTATCGTCGATAATGAACACCACTTTCCGTTCGAGGACAGATTTTCCGACCGGGACTACATGGACCCCGACCCCGTTCTCAGCGCCAATCCGTACGAAGCTGAAGAGGCACACCACTTGCTCACTGAGGCACAGGAAGAGCCGCCAAGTCCAGAAGAGCCTATTTCCAATGCTACAGCCCCAGAACCAGAACGGGACAGCTTCTATGTGCTCCCAGAAGAGCTACGGTCAGCGATCGCTATTTGCCTGCCGACTTTGGATGTATTGAACCTACGGTTGTCCTCACGTTCGTTCTGGACGATTTTCAATAGTCAACAGTTCTGGGCCTCGAGATTCAAACATAAGTCAGACCGCTCATGGCTTCTTGAATCCCAGGACGGGGCTCAGCCTCGGGACTGGAGATGGCTGTATCGTCGAACCAACAATGCGCACATAGGTCCCGGCCTCCAGAATAGAGTTCGTGTTTGGAATCTGGCCCAGAAAGTCGTGGCAGCTCTGGACTTCCAATGGATCGACAGTGGTTCAGAACCTTCCCAGCAGCAAGGCTCGACCCAGCGTTTAAAAGTGTCGGGAGACTTGTGGGAGAGACCGAGCGGGCCACACCACTCCCACTTGGATAAGGGTTGCCTTCTCCGCGAAACGTACCGCCTGACCATCCCTGAAGACCTATCGATGGTTTCTATCTGGTCTATTCCCGTAGGAGAGATTCTATACATCGCTGGACTGAAGTTTACCACGGCCGCAGGCGATGTTCGTCAAATAGGCTACAGAACTACTACTGAGCAGTCCGTGGAGATTTCAGACATAAGCGGCTTCAAGCTAGCTGTGGGAGAAAGGGGGATTCAAGCTTTGCAATGCATCAATCAAAATTTCGACACCTCCCACTGGCTCGGCATTCCGGAGACGTCGCTCAAGACACTGCGCTTCAATGTAGGCGAGCGCATCAACTACCTTGATATTGGATTTGATGTGAGTCAAGTGGACATTGTGAGCTTTGTCCCATGCAAGTATGCTGACTTCACAGGGTTGCAAAATTGTGAGCTTGGCTATCTTTCCCCATTCTTCATCTATCGCAAGACTAGCACAGGATGACAACAGATTGAGAAATATGGGGATGTGGTACCCTGAGGTCCCGGGACCAGACCTCTGCTTGAATGAAACTTCTTTCGCCCCTAGGAAACATTACTTGGACGGATTCAAACCACTATTTTGGACCTCCTTCGGCGGCCCAGGTGGTGCCCACCTTCGAACACTCAATAATATCAGAGTCGTCCTGGGCCGCGCCGGCATATACCGCATCGACTTCACATACAATGTTCCAGAACTCGATAGAACGTTCGGTTGCCAAATGCCTGGAAATTTGACAAAGGAAATCATTTTTGAAATCGATGGAGCAGGAGGCGAACTCATCAATGCGGTCGAAATTCTCCAGGAAAACGTTGACCCTGAAGATGCTTACACATGGATGGTGGAAGAAGGATTCATAGCTGCATTCAAGGTGAGTTGCCCATGTTCACCTATCCGTTGTCCAAACTCCCCCGCAAGAGATGTGCGCTGAAGTAATCACGTTGAGGTGTCCACGAATCGAGGAAGGAGCTGCTTCTTCTCCATTCAAGATAACCTGCCGAGCAATACTTCGTTTCTAGTCACCACAGGTCCTGGAGAGGCCATCACTGGGTTTTACGGAAGCCAGGTAAGCGCGCCCGCATACTTACACTGCGTGTCTTCTCTGAAGTATCTTTCATTGACTGACGAGGGTAGCATTCTCATGAGGGTAGTAGCATTTCGGCTTTGGGTGTCATCTCCGAAGCGATTGAAGAAGTTAAAGATTGAGTTGATGCCGGGATAAGGTAGAAATCGTCCGTTGGCCCCCAAGTTCTGTGGAGGGCTGGGAATCGGGCTGTTGCCCAAGTCTTGAAGTCTGCCGTTACCGAATGATTGGGCACGTTATTGTGCATGTCACGCTATCGTGAATTTTGAAAGGCAGGCGACGGACTTTTGTGGAGTTGTTACTGAGCTTGTAATGGCATGAACGAGGGAAAGGAAGGGAAGGTTGTAGGGTGAACTTGAGAAACGTCATTTTCGATAGAAAAAAAAGGATGACTTGAAGACCCCCATAAAATACGATTAGAGATGCGACACTCTTGAAGTAACTTGCGAAAGAGGTGGCATCCCATTCACTTCAAAAGAATACTGGCGGGGTCAGCTACTTAAGGTAGTCACAAAAGCCCAGGTGCACTCAGTGTAAAGTCAAACGCTGCCCGACTCCCTTTTTAGAATGTATCGGTACGGATACATGTGGAACAGAGCATGTAATGTTGGCCGATACCCCTACTCGTGCCCGCCCCCACTTTTTTGGGCATTCGGGACTCATCACCCACTAAAGTAGGTACTTTTTAGCTAAACGGCCACGTCAGCTATACGGGCACAATTATCGCGATTTATCTCTATACATCACTACTTCCACTACTTTCTACTATAATACCTAAATTTAATACTACTAAAAAGGAGCGTATATAAATAGCTATTATAGCTATTTATAAAAACCTAGAATTATTAATTATAATAGCGGCTTGGTAATACTCTATTCCGCACTAAAAGCTCGGTTAAAGGATTTTTAGTAAATACTTATTAAAAAAGTATACTAACTACGGCTATAAGCTCACTTAGGACTAGGAAAAGGTAATTTATAATTATATTAACTATCTAAACTAAATTAACCTACTTATAAAGCACGAGCTAATTATTAGCGCTACTAATTACTTACTTACTAAGTTATAGGACTTAGTAAATATTAATAATACTAAGGACCTACTTCTTTTTCTAATTATTAACTCTTAATAAGCTAGTTAATTTATTAAAAAGTATAATTACTCTCTAATTAAAAAAAAAGTACTAAATACTAAGTAGTATAAATCTAAAAATAAAAATACTATTAACTCTTACTTTCTTAAACTAAAAAAGGTCGTTAATAAATATAAGATCTAGCTTTTTAATATATAGAATATAGATAAGACTAGATTCTAAATAGGGGTTAAAAAATTTAGTATAATTATTATAAAAAAAAAAAGGGCCTATTACTTCGCCCTTCTAACTAACAAAGAATTTACTACTATTATAGAGGCTATCTCTATTACTAAAAATTACGTACTAGCCTTTTTAATCCTTAGTAGCTCTATTTATATAGCTAGGTAATATAGTATTAAAAAGCTCGAATCTAATACTATTATAAGAGTTTTACTTACTAGCTATATAAATAATATAATAACTCTAAATTAAATTAAGTACTTCGATATATATATAAAGGGTTAAACTAGAGGAGCTAAGAAACTACTATTTATAAATAAGTATAGATCTTATTATATTATTAAGTTTATTAAGTACTATAATAAACACGATATTATCCTATTTAAATTTCTACTATATAGTATACACATTCTCTAACCTCTTAATATTATAATTTTTTAGCCCCTTAAGTACTACTACGCTAAAGTACTTAACCTCGTAGTTTAAAAAAGCTATATTAATATTACTAAACTAAAATTCCTTAGCTTTATATAGTTTATTTATAAAGAAGTATTTAAATATTCTATAATTTTTTTAGTATTTAAAAAAATAGGTATCTACCTATATAATCTATAAATTATATTTAAAAAGATCTATAATTATAATTATAATTCTTAACTAATTATACTACCTTTTTAAAGGCTAGGTTCCTTACTATTTATTATACTTACGATTATTTAAAAGCTCTACTACGTTACTTAGTATTTATAAAAAGATATAAATACCCTTAATAAAGAAATTTAGTACTTAATTAGCAAGGCTTCCCTACTTAAGTAAAATCTCGAGCGGTTTATTTATAAAGTACTTATATAAAGCTCTAAGCTCCTCTAAATAAAAAGAGACCTCGGCTTAACCTAGCTAGCTTAATAAATAAATAGAGCCTATAAATAGGGTAAAAATAGTTAGCTATAGACTAAAAAAATTATTATAATAAAGGACGGTTAACGTATAGTTAAATAGAGGTAAGTATCCAAGATTACTAAAATAATAACTCTCGTTAAGGTAATAAATATAAAAATCCGCTTAATTATTAAAAAAGGGGCTTTTAAAATAAAAAAAAAAGCTAAAAAAATAAGGAATACTAGCTAGCTTTAGCCTATATACGTAATTAATAGTCTAGATAATAAGTAGCTATTAAAAAAGGGGTAGTTAAGGCTTATATATAATAGTATATAATTAACGATTATTTACCTATTTAGCTAAGGAGGCCGTTTAGCTAAAAAGCACCCACTTTAGTAGGTGATAAGTCCCGAATACCTAAAAAAGTGGGGGCGGGCACGAGTACCTTACGTAAAACAAATGGGGCCCCTGGCCTATTCACTATAAGTAGCTAGCCGCGTCGCGAAAAGTCGCGTCTTTGACCAGTGTGCAGGTTGGTCAGAAAGCCTGCACTTCAGATACACTGCTGCTGCGTTTGTCCCTTAGCAAATCTTCCACTCGCCATACCAGCGTTCCTCACTTCGCCCAGTGGAGTAATTCTGCCTTTGTACAAGTTCCTGTCCTTACCGCTGTTTCTCATATCCTTACCCGCCTCAAGGTTCTGATGTACTTGATCCTACCTTATCCCACGTCCCAGCCAGTAACCTCACAAGTCGCTGACAACAACAGCGATTCCCGCAAAAGGGGACGTGCTTCAGAACATAGGCCGACCCACCCTCATCTATCCGTATTCTCACCTCATTCATCATTTTCAGTGCGACGACGGACGTGCTCATAGAGCTTCACTCCCAGGTTTAACGCCGCTTTTCAACCTGCGCGCAGAAATCTTACAACTCGTGTTGCACGCGTCTTAAGTGTAAATACTGCCTACAAGGCCAACCTATGTAAGCCTCATTCAGGCCAGAGACGTCATCTCAAAACAGCCACTGTGACAGCTCGAGTGGTCACATCCCGCTTCCCATGTCCAATGCTCGCGCTAGGTCAGAGGCAGCGTAAGTCCTCCATAACCTTACTCATCACCATATCAACACCTTTCATTCCATCATTGAACCGTAATCTATATCTCATAAACTGACCGGCCGTTGTCTTCGCGACGTACAGCATCCTGGGCATAGACTGGGGCAGCACCGCCATACGTGCAACCATTTGCATCCGCAAGACCAAGGAATTGCACCCAATTTGGAACCACGGCGCGGTTCCTGGACATGACATCCGCTATCAGACCGGCGCTTTCAACTCAACTCTCTACGTCGACGATCGAGGCGGCATAGTGTACACGGGCGAGGTGTACAACCAGAGCTGCACGCCCATTCCCTCAAAATGGTTCCTGTGCGAAGACCGCGAGACCGGCAACCCACTCCTCGATGGCCTCTTGGCAAAGTTCAGAGGCATGGAGAAGCGGATACGCAGGGCCCTTGAAGCCATCGTGAGGACTGTATTCCAGGAGGTGACAACTTTCTGCACCGATCGCGCGCTTCATATTGACGAGATTGGCCTGTCGCATCCAGCGCACTGGACCGCCCAGGAGCTGTCCAACTACGAGAACCTGATTGCCGCCGTCATGATGGAGTCTAATACGTTTACAAAAGCACACGGTCGCATCAAGCTTCATGTAGAGAGTCTGGCGTCGGCTCACTTTCTCTTCTCGAGCCCGCGTCACATGAAGCAGATCCTCACTAAAGTGGACGAGCCTTGTCATCTGGTGTTTCTTGATTTTGGAGGTCACACGATGGTGAGTCAGCTGTAGCGATGATCGCGAGTTTACGATATTGGCCTAGAGAGATATTGACCGCGGTAGCGCAGAACGGCTGCATATTCAGCGCAGTACGACGAAGTGGCGATGGGTTGAATTATTTTCAAGTTGGGGAACCCTTCAGTAAGTCCGGTCACGTTCTCGATATATTCACCCACAGAGCCACGTCTGATAAACGATCTATCAGCCGCTCATGGCGGTACACAGCTATGGGAGAAAAGAGTTGATGATTTCGCAACAAATTACGTCGAAAAGTCATTCAAATCGACTCTACTCCCAAGCCAACGAGCAGACCTTTTGGAGATGTTCCACTTGAAGATCAAGAGGCTACAAACAGGCTTGTTCGCGAGCATGGTCTTGCACGCAGAAGATCCAGATAATCACGGTAGTATATCAGTACACTTACGCGCGACCGATGCCAGGCAATGCTTCCTCGACGGGCTAGAAACCCCCCTCAGACTCGCCAGGAAGAAGATTGACGCCGCTGTCGCCTTGGGCTCAAACGTCAAGATAGTTCTGTCTGGCGGCAGTGGCAAGAACGTTCTAGTGCAGGCGAATCTCCAGCAAGTTTGTGCTCAACTCAAGATTGACGAGCCGTTCCTCTTTTACGAGGCGGTGGGTGAGAAAGAGTATGTAGTTTGGGAACTCGAAATTCCACAAGGTTCGGAGATGAATAAGTTGCTAATACGTCCTGCATCTCGACAGCTCTTTCAACATCAGCAAAGGCGCTGCTCTTGCGGCGGTCGATAATATTATGGCAAAGGAATTCATTGACAGGGGCGCTGCTTTCGGTTTCCAAACAGGTCGCCCGTTGAAGGGCGCTAATGGCAGCTTCATAAGCTGGGATAATACTGCCTTTCTGGCTCTTGATTCTGTAAGATTTCCCCTGGACTCCAGGTGTTCACTTTGGTCTTCGCGTTCTCAACCCGGTCTATCGACGTGCGTTGCTAGATGCCGATCAACCATTTTGCTTTTCCCACTGACAAATGCTCGATCTGGTAGGATGGTCCCCATTACTTTAGAAAGCGCTACAGCGGGACGACGAGGCTCAAGATCGTCTGTGACCCTCAGCTTCAAGCCTCTGCCAAATGGGACCACGTTCCAGCAACGTGTTGCTACGACATTCTCGAATTAGCGCCGCCTACCAAAGGCCACTGGGAATTCTGCTTACAGCTACATGACTTCGGTGACGGCAAGCTGGGGCTGACAATTCGAAAGAAAAAACTGTCGTGGAAGGGAAAAGCCGTATTGAATAAGATGACCTACGGCCCTTTTCCCCTCGAATACGACACGTCTTCGAGGTGTTGTCTGATCAACCTGGACCGGGTCAAGACCGAGAGTACCGACTTTGAGAATGGCATCTTCTTGACCGAGGACGGGAAGCTTGTGCCGTGCGACCCGGAGGCGGTGAACGATCAAATCCAGGATCTGCAAAAGGAGAACAATGATCGACTCAAGGAGTCGGGCGGGATCGATACGTCCATGCCGCAAAAGGTGAAGGAGCAGCAAGAGAAACAGGGGCAGCAGCAGGAACGACAGGAAAGCAGAGCGGCAGGAAAGCGGCCCAGGTCCACGTCGGTTTCTCAGACGAGGGGCAGAGGGAAGCCGCATAAGAAGTCCGGCCGTGATGACGATAGGGGACAGGAACCGGCCTACAAGAAACGACTGATGAAGCGGTAGCACGACACGAAACCACGGAGGCAGTAAGCAGGCGAATCCTGAATGTAGTAGACACTCGGGCGCGGGCTTTGATAGACTGCTCAATCTATTTTTAGCACCCTCGCCTGGGGATTGTAGTTATTAGTACTTGTTATATGAGAAGAATTGTGTGCTTCCTCTTATGTCGGCAACAAGATCATCATGGTAGGGTCAGAGGAGAGGGAGAATCATGTTCCAGCGAAGAGGCCAAGGATGATGATCTAGAGGTGAGGAGGGCAAGGGCAGTTGAAAATTTGGTGTGTGAGGTCTGTGGCGAGGTGTCAGATTTAGAAAGCAGCCCAAGACGCGGGATTCTAAGACGCGGGAACGAGGTGCAGTCCGAGAAGGAGATGATGATGAAGAAGGGTCTCAGGTTCATTCAAGGAGAAAGAGGACACAAGAATAAAGGATTTGTCGTGCCACAAAGCCCGCAAATTGAGCCATTGATATGTCCAGAAGCCATGGAAACCGACGCAAATGAAATCTAGATGCCACTCATGCGAATAAACCCCTCTCGCGAATGGCTTTGCCGCCAAACCCGCTCCAGCCCAGGTGAAGCCGCTCTCCCTCACCATCACTTAGGCTGTCCCATATCTGCACCTTGGATGGCAATACCCCAAAGCCACTTTCGCTGTTAATACCATCATTTTTCGCCTATAGTAACCAGAAGTTCAGAACTTCAAGCCTATGCTAATTTTGGGGACACAGAGATGATGTATTGACTGGCAGCGTGTCTTTC